GTGTATTTTAACCAAACCTCTCCAGTATTTTCAGTTGGTCATGGGAGTTCTGCATGCCAAGTTTGGTTGAATTCCATTGTTGGGACAGTTCAAAATGCTCTTTAATTTCAGGAGCTACTGCAACTCCTACATGTCTGAGTGTATTTCTCCCAAACCTCTCCAGTATTTTCTGTTGGTGCTGAAAAATAGGGCACATCTACACTGCAGAATTAATGCAGTTTGACACCAGTTTAACTACCATGGCGTAATGTTATGGAATTCTGGCATTTAAGTTACAGGACTGTAGTTATATTCCTGAAAGTTGGCTGGAGATTATTTTGAAGCTACATATTGTCTACAGTATTGTCTACACCTCAGAGAGTCCTATACAGACATTTAAAATTAAACCCTGCAACAAACAAATATAAGAAAGGTAACAGAGAGATAGTGTATTTCATGGTGAACCCCAAGTTGCTGAGACTGCGAGGTTTATTTTTCACTCTCCTCTTTATCAGCATCATTGCCTGGTGCCTACGTATACATATAGGTTTATCAGTGGCAGAAGGTGGCATATTAAAAATAGAATTTAACAAAATATAAAAAGAAAAGAAGTTCCCCTTCCTGCCGGTAGCGGTTTGTTTGCTTTTTCCCATCTCAACAATATTAACCAATCAAACCCAACCCCACAGAAAACCTATTCAGAACAAAAGTTCTGCCAACAATAGCCACAGATCTCCTCTCCAAATCAGAAACACACACACACACACATATATACCGAACAATGCAAACCATCATTTCCTGTACAGTGACTTGTCTTTGTATTAACTTTATTACAGGATTCCAGGATTTTCATTTGGGAGTGCAAACATTCTTGCAAGGAGATGTAATCCTGTAATAGTGAGCATTTTGTCGGAGCCCTTCACCTCCTTTGGCATGGCTCCTCCAGTGGCAAAACCTTGATGAATAGGACTATTGTGGCACCTCCACCCCAGGGACCTCATCATATTGATGAGATACTGTGCAGCGATTAACCAGCAAATCGGTGCTGGCAGCAACACTTCCCCATCATATGCAGGGAGGCATCGCCATGCAGTTTCCCCCTACACTGGTTTTGTGGTTTCGTAGAATGCTTGTGCCCCAGTTGAGCCTCACAGCCCTGCCAGAAAAAGCCCTCATGATGAGGTCCAAGAAGGCTCTTTTTAGTCTTGGGCAAGGAGTGAAAGGCAGGAGTTTTGTATTTCTGGAAAGGGACAGCAGTCAGGGTTTCAGAGAAAGGTCTCAAATAGCCCTGATGCTCTCAAAAGATTCCCTGATTGTGGATGGAAGACCTCCAACCACAGTGCTCGCAAGGAGCGGGATACTTCTTCCTAAAGAGAGAGATACCCTCTTTTTGCTTTTGGGTTCAGTCCTGTTGTGGTCCCTGCAGCTGCCACACAAACTCCTGCATATCATGTAGCGAAGGAAGGGACAGAGTGTCTAGGGTCAAAATCATGTTCTTACAACTGAAGGGAAAGCCCGTGGTGGTGGTGGTGGTGGGGATTCAGGGAAGAGGTGGAGCTGTAGCTGGATCCACCAAGTTTCTTCTAAAAGCCCCTTTTCCAAGAAAAATGGAAAGTAATTGTCAAATATGTTTAAATGGTTGCAGTTCCTCGTGTTTGTTTCTTTTTGTCTAGGTTTTCTCTTTTTCCTAATGTTGATGTGATGTTTTCTCTGTGTATTGCCTACTCTTAAATTAGTAAAACTGAAGATGTTTCCTACAGTTCAAAACTTTGTTGTTCCATTTATAAAAATAAAAAGGAAAGAAAAAGGAAATTCAATTTGTAATCATTATTTGCTTACATGGTTCTTTTAATCTACTAAATGTTTTGTGTCCCCCCCCCCCCCCCCCACACACACTCATTTTATGTTCCTTTGGTCTGTAAAATGTGTTATTACTATCTCCATGTTTTTTCCCCATTTTCTTTCTTAAGAAAAAAAATCATGGCTTTAACATTTTCGGAAAATATCTGATAATAAATCAGACTCATTTTACATTTAACTATTACCTGGAATTTTTTTTTGCCGTGCCTGCTAGTCTTAACAACCAAGACCCACATTCCAGAATTGGGAGACTGGATATTTTGAACCTGAGATATGGATTCTGTTGCTTCCGACCAGTTGCTTCAATTGGATTGATATGACAGCAAAAAGGGCAACGAGAAATTTAATCAGGAATGTGCAAATCCTAGTCCCTTCCCTGACATTTTCCTTTTTTTTCTTTTTGCCTGCTTTGAAAATGTATCTATTTTGACTACTTTGAGCCAGCAGAAAACTCTGAACCCAAAATTTCATTGCAGATGCACTTTCTGACAAATAGAAAACTCCCATTCAAATATGGATGTTTTTCTTGTTAGGATTTATAAACCACCCTGAAGGGAAGTGACCAGTGGGCTGCCACAAGGTCATCTCCTGGGTGGGGCCAATGCTGTTTTAACATCTTTGTCAGTAGTCCTTTTTGTTCTACCTGCAAAAAAAGATCAGAAATACAGAGTTAAATTTGCCATTAACTGCTGAGGAGACAAAGGCAGCCATGGGCAAACTTCAACAGCTAGAATTCCTAACAGCCTATCGGCTGTTAGGAATTGTGGGAGTTGAAGTCCAAAACACACAGAGGGCCCAAGTTTGCCCATGGCTACTCTAAGGGTTAACCCAGGCATCCTCACACTGTGGCCCTCCGGCTGTTTGGGCCCCAACTCCCAGAATTCCTGACAATTGAACAAGCTCGCTAGGGCTTCTGGGAGTTGGAGGCCCAAAAGCTGGAGGGCTGCAGTGTGAGGATACCTGGGTTAACTGGACCCTCTTCAAAATGTACTTTAATTATTGTTAACTTGCATGCATTGTTTTTGCTTTTTGTGGGAGCATGATTATGGTTTCTGTTTAGCATCTTTGGTGCCTGTTGCTCCAAGGGTACTACTGTGTGCATGTGATGCTTTTTGTCATAGCCTTAGTCCCGTACAATAAATTATTTTGATTGAACATCTTTGTCAGTGGATTGAATAGAAGGCATGCCTATAACACTATCAGATTTGCAGGTGACACCATATTGGGAAGGACACCTTTCAGCCCACAGTACTGGATCACTGCAGGCTGGAACATTATGGTATTAGGCTCCATCTACATCAGGCATGGCAAACTTTGGCCCTTCAGGTGTTTTGGACTCCCAACTCCCACAATTCCTAACAGCCAGTAGGCTGTTTGGAATGGTGAGAGTTGAAGTCCAAAACACCTGGAGGGCCAAAGTTTGCCCTTGCCTGGTCTACACTGTCATTATATTGGTCAATGTAGACTCAGGATTATATTGGTCAGTGTAGACTCAGATAATGCAGACTGAACTGAATTGTACAAGTCTACGCTGCCATATAATCCAGTTCACTTGCATTCTGACATTGGATTATATGGTAATATAGATGGAGCCTTCGAGATCATATTTTTTTCAGCTTCATAGGGCAGGGATCAAGATATTTTGTGATTAGTGTCATGCCCTCTCAGCATCTCCTTCACATATGTGCTGGCCTTTGGGCTGTTAGGGTCACAATCTCTCAGCTTCACCCACCCCTATGGGGCGGTGGCACTCAGCTCACTGCTGATTGGGATATTGTGCTATCAGAGTCACATTCTTTCAGCTTCAGACATGGATTGGGTCCATGGGATGTTAAGGTCACACTCTCTCAGCCTCACCCATCTTTAGGGAACAGTAACACACTAAATTATCTACTGATAGGGTTGTTTTGCTATTAGGATTCCCATTTAAGGTGGAATCAGGTGTCAAGCAGGGATGTGTTATTGTTCCAATGTTATTTTCTATCTTCATTGTTGTGATACTTCATCTTGCTGATGGGAAACTTCCCACTGGAGTGGAAATCATGTATCGGACAGATGGCAAGCTATTTAACCTCAGCAGACTGAAAGCCAAAACAAGGTCACAACAACATCTGCTATAGAACTCCAGTATGCTGATGACGTCATCTGTGCACATCAGAAGAAGACCTACAAACCACTCACAACACCTTTGCATATGAGAAACTCGGCCTGTCATTGAACATTGAGAAAACCAAAGTGGTCTTCCAGCAGTCACCAGCCAATCCCTCTGCAATGCCAGAAATACAACTTAATCGTTTAATATAAAAAATGTTGACCATTTCCGCTAACTTGGCAGTCACCTCTCCATAAACGTTAAAATTGACAATAAAATACTATACCACCTGAGCTCTGCTAGTGCAGTGTTTTTCCCAATGAAGCAGAGAGTATTTGAAGATCAGGACATCCGTAGGGAGACCAAGGTGCTTGTTTATAAAGCCCATTGCCCTCCCAACCCTGCTATACGCCTGCAAAACGTGGACTGTCTACAGACGTCACACTCAACTCCTGGAATGATTCCATCAGTGTTGTCCCTGAAAAATCCTGCAAATCTCTTGGGAAGACAGGCAGGCGAATGTCAGCATGCTGAAAGAAGGAAAGACCACCAGCACTGAAGCAATGCTCCTACATCATCGACTCCACTGGACAGCCCACGTTGTCTGAATGCCCAATCACCATCTCCCAAAGCAGTTACTATACTCCCAACTCAAGAATGGGGTAACGTAATGTTGGTGGACAGGAAAAGAGATGTAAAGATGGTCTTAAAGCCAACCTTAAAAACTGTGGCATAGACAATGAGAACTGGGAAGCCCTGGCTCTTGAGTGTTCTAACTAAAGGTCAGCTGTGACCAGCAGTACTGCAGAATGCGAAGAGTACCGGCTTCAAAATGATATAAATAATATAAAGGTCCACTTCATTCCAGCATGCGCTGTAAGCGAAAATGCTTTGACCGCAGCTCACCGAAAGGGGGCGCCGTGGAGCCTTCAGCGGCGCGTTGCTTTTTCAGTTGCCGCTTCTGCCGAAGCCCCGCCCCTTCTGACTAAATAAGGCCTCGTCCTGGACGCTGGAAGCGTTGGCGTCGCCATGGCGACGCGACGCTTCCTCGGCGTGGTTGCTAAGCGACAGCGGCCTGCTGTTGTAGTGCTGGGAGCCCTCTCTAGTGGACAGGCCTTTCCCGGAAGGTGCTGGGGATGCCGCTCAAGGTGGTGGTGGAGCTGCAGGTCCACTCGGTGAGAAGGAGAGAGCGGGCGGGGAAAGCCAGGGGCACCCAGGCAGCTGTGGAGGGGATCTGAAGGAATACATCTACACTGTAGAATGGATGCAGTTTGGTACCGCTTTCCCTGCCATGGATCAGTGCTACGCAATCTTGGGGTTTGTCGTTGGGTGAGGCACTAATCCTCTTTGTCAGAGAACACAACTTCCAGCATAGCATTGAGCCTTAGCAGTTAAAGTGGTGTCAAACTGCATCAAATCTACAATGCAGACCTACCCTACATATTAGCAAAAAAGTTCATTTTAGAGCTGTGAAAAAGTTTGGGGCTAAGCTTCTGAAATGCCTCAGCCAGCGTGACCACATCAAAACAAGCAACTTTTGAATGTATTTTTTTAAAAATCTGAATGTCAAACGTGAAAGTTCAAGTCCTTAGGGTCTTGGAAGTCTTTTTACTTCCAATCTCAGAGAGTGAGGCTGGACCGACACAGCCATATAATCCAGTTTCTGTAGCCAGATCATCTGCTTTGAGCTGGACCATATGAATCTACACTGGCATATAATCTGATTCAAAGCAGGTAATCTGGATTCAGAAACTGGATTCTATGACATCTTAGATGGGGCCTGAGCAGGAATGATTTCTGGCCCTGAGTACATTCCCAGAGGCATTTGTTGCTGTATTATTGCTCTCTCACTCTTTTAAAATGCCTCCATATGAAAGCAGACATCAGATTTTGTTTTCCAGTGTTGCTTACAAAAGTGTTTACAATAAGGTAGTTTTGTATCCTCATTTTGTATCCTCAGCAGTTATTTTTCTTAATGGTGCGAATCTTGACACAGCTTGCACACATTTCCCATGGATTCTTTTAAGTACTGTGATCTGTTTCTCCTTTCGTGAAGGTCTCTTGTCCTGGTGTGCACTTGGCAGAGAAGAGTGATGTCTACCTCCATGTGTGCATCCTGGGTCAGTGCAAGGAAACGGACTGCCTTCCTCCCACCTTCCCTCTCTTCTTTCATGAAAAAATGTGGTTTGAAAAGGTAAGTGAGGATTTTTTTTACTTTTTAAAAAGGCTTCCTCTTGATTCTTCTCTGAATGGCTTAGATTCGAGATCTGGTTTGAGAAGGTAACTTGGAATCTTATTTACTTTTTTAGAACTCATCCTCTTGATTCTTCTCGGACTAGAGATGTGGGAGTGGCCTTAAGAAGGTTAAGCATAATGTTGAGGTAGATCATAGAACTAATTAGTTGTAAAGAAACTTGGAGATCATGCAGTCCATCACGGTGCTCCATTCCAGCTCTCCAGAGCAAAGACTTTATCACACAAGGCTACTAAAACACATTAGTAATATTGTAGTCATATTGCACTTGTTCTGTGATTGGATTATATCTTATCACTGACAGGAAAACCTCATCCATGACTCCAATATCACAATTATTTCATTGTTCCTCCTTGTGTGATAACCCGCCTCTCCTGCAGTCCTGCTATTGCAAAATGGAAGATGGTGTCTTAAGAATGCCAAAGCTACATAATTCACAATTGTAGCAACATAGAAAAATTAGGGGGTGAAATATGCAAGCTCTGGTTTGGGCAAGCATAGGTAGGAAGCAAGTCTTCATGAATTTGCACTGACTAAGTGGTAGCATCGTACAGAAGTGTGAAACGGATCTCCAGTCTGCTTAAATAACACTATGTAACAAAATTTTGAAAAGTTTCTGTTCCTTGTTTGAAAGTATTATTTCCTGTTTAATTGTGTGGAACCTACTATGAACATAGTTATTATACTCCAGAAACTTCGTTTTTGTGGCTGCCACAAACCATGCTGAATTGCTTGAGACTCCATCAGATATTTATTTTAAAAAACCTGTAGAAAAATGTGCTGCAGGATGTTGTGCAAAAACAATTTTTTTGCAATTTAATAAAATGTTCCTATGTTTTATGATAGAACCAATTAGGCTGGTGTGATTAAGTCCCAGGATCCAATCCTGACAAAGGGGGCTTTCTTTACATAAGGTATATGATCATCACCTTCTGAGGGCCTTTCTACATTGCTATATAAAATTCAGATTATCTTCTTTGAACTGGATTATATGGCAGTGTAGACTAATATAATCCAGTTCAAAGCAGGCTGTGTGACTGTTTTGCTGTCAAACTGCTTGTGTCATTAGGATGTTTTCTAACATTTACCTGAAATTCCACTTTCCTGTTCATTCAGTTCTTTCCAACCTGTTAGATGGTTGTAGTTCTTGCTGTGAATATTTTTTATAAATTTTGTCTTATATTCTTGTTAGTGTTGAGATTTGCTGGTAATGATCACTCAATATTGTATGCTGGTATTAGCCAGGAGGATAATACTCCAAAATGACAGCGGATCTTGATATAGGACAGTGTTTCTCAACTTGTGGGTCCCTGGGATTTCTGGGAGTTGTAGGCCAAAACACCTGGGGACCTACAGGTTGAGAACCACTGATGAGTTAATCTAAAGCCGAGTTGGAAAGACTGTGGTCCTTCAGATTCTGGTTCCCATCATCCTTGATCATTGATCATCCTGTCTAGAGCTGATGAGAATGGGAGTTCAACAGCATTTGGAGGGAATCAAGTTCCTCATGCTGCTTTGAATGTCAAGCTTTTGGGGTCAGTTGATAGCAATAATTGATTATTTGATTTATGCAACCAACATAAACATCTCTACTTTGAATTCCAAGGTATAGCTGTGATAATCTGGGTCAGCATTTGAAGAGTGATGAAGTGACAACCTCAGTTTATTATAACACTAGCCAAAACACATTTATCACATTCCTCTTTTGGTTTCCAGTCAGTGTTACAGTACATTTCAATAATTCCTTCCACCATTCATACAGCTATGAGCAAGATCTCTCCTTTCACCTTTATCCCACTGTATGCATAGGGAAGTCTTACAAAGGATGAGAACAATAGATGTTAGTGGTAGGCATTTAGTGGTGATCATTGGGCATAGTGATGTTGGTGATGTTGGCCTTTCCCCCAGGTTATCTGCTTTGAACTGGACTATAAGAGGGCCCTTCCACACAGGACCTGTATCCAAGGATCTGACCCCAAGTTTTCTGTTTATCCCAGATTATTTGGTTAGGGTCAGCAAAGAGCACAGCAGGGGGCAGAGCAGCCTTCAATAGCCTGCAGCGCCGCCCCTGTCAACCCCCTCCACCAAGTCTGGCCTCCTTAATGAGAGCATTCAACCCCCCCCCCCCCCCAAATTGGTTGCTTCGCTACATCGGCTATTGCTGCAAGTAATGATAGTATGACTAAATTGTCAATATTTGCTTGAGATAGTGCCACTGCTTGCAGTTCTGGAGGGACTCTTAATTTTTTGCATCTCATAGACTTAGCATGGGGATTTGGTTAACCATTTAAAATTCATGAGTAAATCAGGTTTTCTTTAATCTGAAAATTTGGGGGGGGGGGGGTTTGAACCCCTAACCCCCGGCTACAGGCCTGTAATCTGGTATAAGCAGACAATCGGGGATAAGCTCCTGGGATATAAGGACAGTGTAGAAAGGGCCTTAGGCACTAGGCTGTTATTGGAGGGAGGGCATCTTGCTTAGAGATGTGTTTACATTTTTTGTACATAAATTTATTTTCCTGTATATGATCAATCAAGTTGTTTTTTAAAAAAATCTGATAAACATATATTTGTTTGATAACTCTAATATAATTTTTAAAAATTATTTTGTTTTCTGTAGATATTTGAAAAAGCTACTGACCCTGTTGATGTAGTAGAACTGCTAGAAAGTAAGTTTCCCAATAAATATGGTTCTTGTTATACCACTTTAAACTGCCATGCTTCCGTGCTATGGGATCATGGGAAGAGTAGTTTTACAAGTGTTTTTTTTTAAAGATGCTGGTGCCTCCGCCCCCTTCTACACTATCATATAAATCAGATTATCAGAGTAGATAATCCTGATTATCTACTTTGAACTGGATTATATGATGCCCGTTCTACACTTCCATATAATCCAGATTATCAAATCAGATCATCTGGATTGATTTGAACAGGATTATACTTTTTATATGAGTCTACATTGCCATGAAATCCATTCAAAGCAGATAATCTTGATTTTATATGGCAGTGTAGAAGTGGCCTTAGAGAGGGGCATTTAAAACTCTCAGTCAGAAACCTTCAATACCTTACCAAACTACTACAAATCTCAGGATTCCATAGGATAAAAGGTACTGATCTATTCAATCAGTTTTACCGGGGGGGGGGGGGGGGTTGAAGGTCATTTCCCCCCAAATATTATATAGGAGGGTTGTTTTGACGATGATAACATAAGTGGGGGTAATAAGAGGAAAACAAGGAGAAATACTTTTACTCCTTCAACCCCATCCCCCCCCCCCCTGTAAAATGGACTGTCCTTTTCTGTCTGGCACCCCTTTTTGGCCTCTGCCCTGGTAATGGAACAGTACCATATGTAGAAATTAACAAAACCTGTGGTCTTCTTCCCATCTTCCCATCAATGTAATGCAAGATGAGAACAAAAACAATTTCTTTTATATTTAAATTGGAAACATAGAAACCTTATCTGTATCATAATAGATGATTTATCCCCAAGGTTACCTTTTTCTGTATCCTTTTACATTCTGTCCCATTGCCATAGCTATATAACTATGGCCCCATATAAACTGGTATATAATGCAGTTTGAAACTGCATTAAATGGTCAGTACAAACTGATATAATGCAGATTTAGGAACCACGTTACATGAGTCTACATTGACCACAAAATGTTGTTTTAAACTGCATTATATGGCAGTGTAGATGGAGCCTAAGACATTAAACTCAAATATCTATGGTTTGTTTAAACTATGGTTTGTGAGAATAAGACAGGACAAAACCATGTTACAGTCTATCTCAAAACTGCTTTGGCCCCTTCTGCATTGCCATTTAAAATCCAGATTATCAAAGCAAATAATCCACATGATCTGCTTTGAACTGGATTATATGAGTCTACACTGCAGATCTGCTACAAAGTAGATAATCTGGATTTAGAAACTGGATGTAGATCCAGCCTGAAATGGAGTAAGAGGAAATTGAGAAGAGGGTGGAGCAGAACATAGAGTGAGAATAGGTTTTGTTTTATCTCATACGGTCTGGAAGCCTGGTTACTGAAAGTATATTTTACAAATTGAAGTTTTTTCTGCCGTGTGTCATCAGATTGTTTCCAATTTATGATTATCATAAGGCAACCTTATCACATGGTTTCTTGGCAAATTTTCTTCCGAGGAGGATTGCCTTTCCCTTCCTCTGAGGCTGAGAGGGAGTTACTTGCCCAAGGTTACTCAGTGAGTAGGGATCCAAATGCTGTTCTTTGGAGTCATAGCTCAAAGCACTCCACTCACTCTCACTGTTTAAATGCCACCTAATTATTCAGCTGCCATCAATAACATCTTTTCTTTGTTTCTTTTAGAAAATCTGACAAAGATTCGATTATCTGAGCTGATATCTTCAGGTAAATGGGGACAATGGGAGTGGGAGGATTAGTCATCACAACTTCCTTTCTTCCAGAAGAAAATGACTGTCTTGAATGATGTTGCGGTTGGGCAAGCTCTGATTCTCCCTGGTGTTCCCATGTCTGTCATTATTATGAATTACCAAGCAAGAATTAAATCTGTGCAAGAACTGCATATGCTAACCTATTCTGTACAAAATGTACATTCCCAGACATCTCTCTATAATTTCAATTTTATGGAACCAAATCTTGCCATGTGACAAGATTTGACAGTGGCTTTCTGAAAAGTAGCCACTGGATGGCAATATAAGCCTTTTCAGTTTTACTCCCTGGTTTAACTTTGCACATCATCAAAAGTTGGTTAAAACTGGGAGAGAGCTATCCATGGAGACATCAGAAGAAAAGAAGTAGCAAAACTAAACTTGGTTGTAAGGAAAAGAAGATTGGGTGTACTGACAACTTTCAATTAAAAGAGAAAAAGTAAATTAGAACAGAAGTTGCTTACTCTAATGACTTTCAAAATGTGTTTTGAAAATGTAAATTAGGTAAAAGTGTAGTGTCCTTGAAAGTTTACTAGATATCCATTTATTAGAAGGCTGATAATGATGGACAAGATTCCTGGAAAAAAAGTCACATTTTCCCACTTCATGTGCAGTTTCTCTTGCTGATCGTACTTGCACCAATTCTATGCTTGCTCTGAGTAGTGATACAATCTGGCCAGTACTCAACATGAGGTGACTGGATATTACAACAGCAGAATATGATGGTTGTTGTTCATTCGTTCAGTTGCTTCCGACTCTTCGTGACCTCATGGACCAGCCCACGCCAGAGCTCCCTGTTGGCCGTCACCACCCCCAGCTTTAGCCAGTCACTTCAAGGATACCATTCATAGAATATGATACAAAGCACAAAAATTATGTGGCAGGCAGTTGCTCTCGTTTGAACAAAAAATAATGAAAAGTGTTCTCAGGAGGCAGAGATTCTGCCATTTTCTCTGTTTCACTGGGGTAGATTTAGAGGCAGATGGACCAAGGTGATTCAACCTGTTGTGGATCCAATTCCGTGGGAATGGTGGGGGTGAAAATCCAATAAACATCAAACAAACAAATATGCCTCAGGTGCTGGGTATGTGTGGATAAACCAACTGTAAACTCTTTACTGAACTGTCCACACAGCATAAGGAACAAATATGCTCACAATTTTTGTGACATGAATAGTTTTATGTTTGCAGATCTAAACATGTACTTTTGTCATCTATAATGATAAAGATCAACAGTGTATGTTGTTGTCGTTTATTCATTCAGTCGCTTCTGACACTTCGTGACCACATAGACCAGCCCACGCCAAAGCTCCCTGTCAGCCGTGGCTACCCCCAGCTTCTTCAAGGTCAAGCCAGTCACTTCAAGGATAGCATCAATCTTATCCTTGGTTGACCCCTCTTCCTTTTTCCTTCCATTTTCCCTAGTGTCATTATCTTATCCAAGCTTTCCTGTCTTCTCATTATGTGGCCAAACTACTTCATCTTTTCCTCTAATATCCTTCTCTCCAGTGGGCAGCCAAGCATTATTTCCTGGAGTATGGACAGGTTGGATCTTCTTGCGGTCCAAGGCACTCTCAGAATTTTCCTCCAACACCACAGTTCAAAAACATCTATCTTCCTTTGCTCAGCCTTCCTTATGGTCCAGCTCTCACATCCATAGGTTACTACGGGGAATACCATTGCTTTAACTGTGTGGATCTTTGTTGCCAGTGTGATGTCTCTGTGCATACAACTTATATAAGTTCTCAAAGATTATATGTGATATGAAATAACAAATTCAGTGAAAAAAATTTATCCGTACATTGAACAAATTAAGGGGCAGTGAAGTTACCCTTTGCTTAGGAACCAGTTTTTGTGAGAATGGACATAAACAGCATGGAAATACAGAGGCTGTGGTGTAGCTGCTTAGAAACATGGTTTCCAGAATGATTTTAGATATAATAAGAAGTATAGAACAAATTTCTTTGGAAGGACGTTCAATATTTCCAAAAGCAATTTCCTCTTAATAGTGACAGTCTACTAATAGAGGCTTGGTTCTTCCTTAACCTCAGTGCAAATAAGATTTAGAATTATCCAGTAACCCTATTATTTATTGATTGATTTATTGAATTAGGCTGAAAAAAAACTTGTTCTTTTCTCTCTCTGTTCCATTTATTTTCTAATTTTGTTGCTTGTGTAATCAATTGAAACTTGTGAGATAATCCAGATTTTGTGGTTGATCTGACTATATAAAAGTTGTAGTAAAGTTTGTGAGTGTACCAATGCTTGCTATTTAGCATTGCCCTTGAACAGCAGATGTGGATGTCCCAATGATGAAGAATGCAAATGAAGGAATATGCCTCTATTAGGTTGCTTTTTAGGTAGCCCTCGGTGGCGCAGTGTGTTAAACTGCTGAGCTGCTGAACTTGCTGACCAAAAGGTTAGTGGTTTGAATCCGGGGAGCGGGGTGAGCTCCCACTTTGAGCCCCAGCTTCTGCCAACTTAGCAGTTAGAAAACATGCAAATGTGAGTAGATCAATAGGTACCACTTCTGCAGTCATGCCAGCCACATGACCTTGGAGGCGTCTATGGACAATTCCGGCTCTTCAGCTTAGAAATGGAGATGAGCACCACCCCCCAGGGTCTGACGATTAGATTTAGTGTCAAGGGGAAACCTTTAACTTTACCAGGTTGCTTTTTACAAATATGAATTTCAGCTCTTCATGAATACAACAAAACAGCAAAGTTTCTGCTAAAGATTCCTCACCTGCCTATTTGTTTTAAAAATGGGTCATTTTATTTTGAAATGGGCAGGGATAATTACTTGAATAATCTGCTTAGCACTCTGCTTTTGCCGTATTGACTTTTGATACCTGTTACGTCTGTACAAGCTGTTGCCAAGAAACAGAGAATAAATCATGATGATGGTCATGAATATGGGCTTAATAGTTCATATTCCCTGATGCCACATTATTTTGAATAATGTCCACAAATCAGTTGGGTGGTTTAGCACTGAAATTTGTGGTCATTCCTAACTCAAAATAGAATGGAAGCTTTGGAACGAAAGCCAGCCGAAAGCTAAGGACGACATCATGTTCTGGTTTTGCTGTGCTGAGCCAAGCCTTCCCTTCCAGAAGAATGGCAGAACTGAACTTCTGCCCTTCATTTCTTCCTTGCAGCTCTGCACATTAATCATCACAACTAAATCAGTAGGAATAAGCTTAGTGAGTCATTTGATTTTCAAGAGTGTTCCTTGGCATTTTGGACTAGACAGGAGTGGCCATTCTGGCATCTTTCTCGCAAACCTGGCCAAACAAGTAAGGACAGGGTTCTTTCTAATTTTATAGAACCAGATGTTGTTATATTCTTACCTTCAATGTAGTGCTTGCTAGAATATATTACTGTCGTGACTTCTAGGTGATTTTAATTTTCATTAAAGTTCACTGAGATGGACCAAAATGGAATACAGGGCCTTTTTTCTTCTCATGTTGAATACAAAAGCGTTATAGGGTGTGACATTCAAACGTTAGGAATTTGAAGATGAGGTGATCTACATACCCCAAGGGCACCAGGTTCTTTCTGATCTTGGAAACTAAACAGGATCAAGTTTGGTTATTATTATTATTTCAAACACAAGACGAGTCCACAGCAAACAAGATCATTCTGCTAGTTGTTGTATTGGATCACACATCGGACACTTTCCAAGTGTCTAGGACTGTGAGATGTATCGGTGAATAATGCGTGCAGATCCCATTAAGATGGCCTTTTGCAGCTGGCAGATGGTAATCCTGTCAGCTCTGATTGTGCTTAACTGCAGGCCAAGGTCTTTAGGCACTGCACCCAGTGTGCCAATCACCACTGGGACCCCCTTGACTGGCTTGTGCCAGAGTCTTTGCAGTTCGATCTTTAAATCCTCATATCGTGTCAGCTTTTCCAGTTGTTTCTCTTCAATCCTGCCCAGGATTGCAACATTGACGATCCATTATTATTATTATTATTATTATTATTATTATTATTATTATTATTATATATCATCCTTCTCAACCTCAAAGGGGACTCTGGGCGGTTCACAGTGTTGGCAACAATTCAGTTCAGTTAGTACTTGGATGGAATATCACCGCCGAATCCTAGGCTGTAGGCTATATTTCAGATGAAAAATGGCGAAAGACCTCTGAGTATTCTTTACCTAAGAAAACCGTATGAAAACCCTAGAGATGAAGAGTCATGAGGTGAAGAGATTGTGTGTTGGAGCGGGGGGGGGGGGGGGGGTTAGCTTGTCCCAATATATTTGTCTTCAAACTCCTTACGTCTTTTATTTTATCTTTCAGAGAAAGAAGATCTTGCCAATTATGAAGAGAACACTCGGGATTTTTTATTTCCTGAGCCCAAACTGACTCCTCCATATCCTGGAGTGGACAGAGAGTTATTAATGAACACACCTCCATCCTTCCCTGTAAGTTATGATGGAATGGAATTGGTCATGCATTTACCAAAGAGGGAACAATGTTGTTGCGTGCTGGTTTAGTATTCTGATTTTATTATATTTTATATTTTATATTTTATAGATTATATTTTAGCTAATATCACTTAATATTGTCCAAAATGTGGGCAGCTGACTTGAACTCAATGACATTTACTTCCAAGTTACTGGCAAGATTTTGTATACATTAATAGGCAACTTAAATTCATTTTGGTATGCGGGATGTCGCATATTAAGATGAAAAATATGCTTTTCTTTAATCTTACATGCTTCTTTCAAACCAAGATGAGAATAACATCTTCAAATCAAGATGAGAGTAACATACTGAAAAACATGTTTTTCTTTAATCTCATGTGATCCTATCAAATTATGGCTGTTGACTGCATGTCTTCATACAGATTTCTCCTTGCATTTCCCCCCCAAGGGCATTGCACCAAAATTAGAGTTTTCCACAAGAACAACAATTACAGAACTTCCACTTCTGCCCAGAAGATGGTATAGTGTAAGTAATCTCAGCTAATTAATTCATACAGGAAAGGAGCTGTGTTTGATTACATCTAGTAGCTCTCCCAGTGCATTACATTAATGCACCTAGAATGTCTCAAATCATACTATGAGTAATTTTGTATCTAGCCAGATCTCTTAAACCTTATCCAGGTTAATAGCTCTCTAAATAGCTTCAATATCAGAAAGCTACCATAATTCTATCTTTTTGCTTGGCGATGACTGGCGGATTGTTTTCTCACCTTTATTTGGAGAAATTTGTAGATTTCTATTCATCATCCAAACCCAAGAATGGAGAAACATTTTTCATATTTCTGTGCAGAGGTGGTGGTCAAGCAGTCCACAAACCAATAGTTGCAACTTGGTCTCATAAATACTTACAACCAATCAAGCATAAATATTTATTTTCCTTTAACTACTTTTGTTTTTATAAGTTGCCAGGACCCAAACCATGTAAGGCTTTAAAGGAAATAATAAATAATTTTTGTCTTGCCTGAAAATGAATAACCCTTTAAGAGATAAACCTCTAAATGCAGAGTTATCAGATTAGCATTAAATCGATACAGAAGGAGAGAATAATTATTTCTGTTTATTTTATTCTGTCACTGCCTTTCTTGTCACCAAACATTTCCACTTTTTTAATATGATAATTACACGCGCGCACACACACAAACCAATCATTGGCCTCAGAGTAAATATTGGGAGTGTAGCTCATACCTTTGATCACATTTACAAAGTGTTTAATTTAAGGTGCTACATTGAAATTAAATGCATATTGGGGACAAAAAGTCAGAAATAACCATGGCTGTCTAGCTGTGCTGGTGCCTTTAGAATAATAATAATAATAATAATCATCATCATCATCATCTTTATTTATAACTCACCCTTTCCCCAAGGGGACTCAGGGCAGTTTCCAACAAAGGTGGCAAACATTCAATGTCAAAAAAACATACAAACAACAAATCAAATCAAAAACAATAAGTAAAGCTATCTGGAGTATAACTTACAATGCAAACCAAAAAATAACCAAGAGTTAAAAACACAAGCATACATAATGTAATGTCACACTTCACACATACTTACCACATGATAAAATTTTATGGGTAAAAAGCATTAAAAATATAGGGTAATTTACATCTATCTGTTTGGCTATGGTTAGAAACCAAATTCTGAAATAGATAGTCCACTAGTCTGATCCAGCAGTGCTATTGGTTTTCCCTCACTTATGCCATCACTCCAGTTTGTTGCTTTAAACTGTAAGATTTATTTGATTAATAAGGAGATTCATTGCCTGCTTGGTTATCCTTTTATTGCTGACATGGTTAAGGGCAGTGGTTAAGGGACAGTGGTTAAGGGACAAAAATGCCTACTTCATTCAGGGTTATTTCTAATTGTTTGGATTATATGTTGTTAACATGCAGTCAGAGATGAGATTAGCTGCAACAGGTTGAGTGTCCATTATGCAGAAATCCAAAATCTGAAATTGTCCTCCTAAGCAGCTGAGATAGTGACACTTTTGCTTTCTGATGATTCAATGCACACAGACTTTGTTTCATGCACAAAATCATTAAAATAAAAGTACTTTCAGACTATGTGTATAAGGTGCGTATGACACATAAATGAATTGCATGATTACACTTGGGTTTCACCTTCAAGATATCTCATTTCATCCGACTATGCAATCACAGAAATTCCAAAATCCAAAAAAAGTTGAATTCCAAAACACTTCTGAGCTCAAGCATTTTGTGGAAGGGATACTCAAGCCCCTTCTACTTCCGTATAAAGTCCAGATTATCTGCTTTGAACAGGATTATATGGCAGTGTAGAGTCATATAATCCTGTTCAAAGCAGATAATGTGGAATATCTGCTTTGATAATCTGGATTATATGGCAATGTAGAAGGGGCCTCAGTCTGTATTTTGAGGTGTTTTTTTTGCCCCTTCCACACATCTGAATAAAACCCCACATTATGTACTTTGAACTAGGACATATGGCAGTGTAGGCTCATATAATCCAATTCAAAGCAGTGAATTATCTGCTTTGATAATCTGGATTATATGGCAATGTAGAAGGGGCCTCAGTCTGTATTTGGAGTTTTTCTTTGGGCCCTTCCACACAGCTGAATAAAACCCTACATTATATACTTTGAACTGGAATATTTGGCAGTGAGAACTCAGACAATCCAATTCAAAGCAGATATTGTGGGTTATTCTGCCTTGATATTCTGGGTTATATGGCTGTGTGGAAGTGCACTTTGCCACATCTGTTTGACTTCTCTAACTAGCATATCTGATGACTTGTAGATAGGAAGTGTTGCCATTTAATCTATTTCGCAGGACAGAAATGATACCAGGATGCAAAGGGCTGCCTCAGCATCATCACGGCGAAGGAGCATCTCACCCACACGATCTAGGATGGCAAAGAGTAAAAGCTGCAAGAGATTTACAAGGTCCCTAAGATCCCGCTCTCCATCTCCAAGCCCAGTAAAACATTTCCATGAGAACTCCAGTAAAAGTCAGACCCAGCTCTCTACTTTGAACCCGAGGTCCATTAAGTTCAAAACAGAAGCAGACCACAGGCCACCTTTTGTAGTTAGACATGTAAGTCCTACAATGAAGCAGTGAAGGTAATATTTAGATGCTGATCAATGGAGCAGGTAGGATTTTCACTGCCTTTTTTCCAGGTCCAGGTGGGCATCCCTTATCCAGAATCGTGAAATATTCCAAAATCTGAAATTGTCAACATGAGTGGTTGAAATACTGATGCTATTGTTTCTGATTGTTCAATGTAAACAAAATTATTTAAAATGTTGGATAAAATTATCTGCAAGCTATGTGTATTAAATGTAGACATTATTTTGATGGGTAGTTTGGGGTCCCATTTCCAAGATCATGATTGCATATGTAAATACAGGTGTAATCTGGGGAAAAAAATCCAAAACACTTCTTGTCCCAAGCATTTCAGATAAGGGCTACTCACCTTGTACAAGATGGAAGAGCATCTGAAGAAATTAAAAATCCATAAAGGCAAAATCCTGAAGATCTATGATACTGCATCTCCACCAATGTGCATTGTAATATACTATGAATAATTACTAGGGCCGCTTTGTTTCTTGGTGGCTTTTCTTCTGATGATAGTATCTCTGTGCTTTGCTTGGCTGTTCCTCAGAGGACAGACACAAAACCCATCTTGGGGACAGAACTGAAGCTTTATCTGCCAGGAGGAACCTGCCAGAGTTTATTCTCATAATGCAGGATCACCCAAGATCACAAAGGAGCAATGGAGTAGGACAGCAAGCTTAATGGTATGCATGCTCTTTGCAAAGCAGATAATGTCCTATCATAGAAACAAACTCCATTAAAATAAGTTTTCAGTTTGAATTAATTTTAGTTATCAATCCGGGGGGGGGGGGCAAAATAAATATAAATGGATCTAGTTCATATTGATGCTACCATTGGTATTTCACAATGTCAAAAGGCCTCCAAGTGCACTGTGGTTAGCATTTTAGTGATCAGGCATATTGTTCTGGTGGAACCACTGGGAACAATAAAGTTAGCAGTGAGGACTTGGTGCCACTTGGACACCATAGTTGTCTTGGAGGTTTTGATGTTGTCTTGCTTGTCTTTAACACTTTGAGAAATGTATCATCTCATGCTAAGAAGCACCCTTCCTTGAGAAATAGGGAAGGTAAATCTGGACTTGTGTATCACAGCCGTCTTGGAGGCTTCTAAGTCCTGGTCCTGTCTGTGCAAGAATCCCAGTGAAAAACAAACCTTTATGGCCAGGTCTGAGCATTACATCATGCTGGCTGTTAATATAGAAACCTAATGCTGGGAAGGACAACAATCCTGACCTCCCACAAATTTTCATAGTCTAGATCATCGACTGCAGAAGTAATTACAATGTATTATTCCAAGGTTCAATAGAGCAGACTATTATATCAGTACGATTAATTTGGAGAGGCCATTTGGGCAATAAGTTTTTTATTTTTAGAGCAGCAGGCAACAAAGCTGTTGGTAGTTGGGAAGAAACTTCTCTCGTGGATATATCCCTCTGTGTTTGTCTTTTATAGTTTTTGGTGTGACAGGGTGAATTAGCATCAAATTATAGTTTTATTTTACATATTTTGGTTGGTTTACTTTGTTACTGACTCCTGTACAGGGCTGTAACTTAAGGGCAGGGGGAATGAAGGCATTGGTCCTCCAAACAAGAATTCTGCCCCTTCCAATGGAATTTTCCTACTGATTTCTAAAATTGTAGAGAGTGAGGCATTAAAAACTGGTCAGCACACATTTTGGTTCCTCACATATTAGCCCTGTTTCTGGGTGTATTTAACCTGTTGGTTCCAAAAATGGCATCAGTTTTCCCCGATCATTCTTGTTTTTGAGATACAGAACATAAGCCATATACCAGTTGCCATCTACTTGTCCATAAAAAACCATGATAACCAAATGTAAGAAACCAGAGCTGATGCAGTCTATCCAATGCAATCTTCTGGAGCAGTACTCAATTACTTCAAGAACAGGCCCAAGTACACAACTAAAGCATATTTAAAGAACATGAACTAATATTTCTTAGGATGCCTTTTCAGTTGTTACAAAACACTCCAGAGTTTCAGTACATGCATCACCTCTTCAGACAATTCTGGTTGTGACAGGTTGGTGTTAAAGCCACACTAGGTTCTTGCATCATGCGTATGTTTCACTGTACATGTATGTGTGTGGTTTTGGGTGTCTGTGAAAATGGTCGATTCCAAGTGCTTGGATGTTCTTCCTTAGTATAGCACAGATTGAATCATCAACGGGTACATTCTTCAGACATTTGACTTAGTGTACAATTAGAAGTGAAGAAGGTTTGATTTTATTTTGCTATAGGGACAATAAAATCTGGGAAATATTTTTAGTTTCTTGTTCATATGAAGGCAGCTGCGAACACCTGCCAACAAAAAAAGCTATGCATATTTACTCAGAAGTAAGTACCACAATGTTCAATAGGGCTTCTTTTCTTATAAGTGCAGTCCTATACTTGTGTATGCTAAATCAACTAAGTAAACATGTAAAATTGCACCGTAAACCCAAAATGTTTATCCGGAGTGAGGAGTGGCTCAAGATGGCTTTGTGATTTCATTCACCTCCACCAGATATTTATTGTCTGCATTCTTTCTGATTTCCCTGTCTGTACAGACCCAGTTATTATCATCTAGGGTAGTCTTTTATTTGCCACAGTTTTTCATCTAGCTCGGAAGATTGCCTTGATTTGCTTCACTTAGTTTGTAGTGAATATCTCCTCCAGAAGCTCTGCAGTCATAATGAACCACTAGACATATTCTGGGTGGTGATCTTGAACACATTTAGCACATGCTTCCCTCCACTCATGAAATTCTGGGGTACAGTTAGCAGCAAACTACAAACTGTTTGCCCCACCAGCTCAAAAGGTGTCTTGAGCAATGATCAATCTATTTGCCTCCAAGGAACTGGGAAATTGATGCTTCTCTTCGATGTTTGATGCTTTATCTTATGTCGGATATAACAGGTTGCATTTTTAAATTTAATTTAAGTTTTTAAGTCATAATTTGTTTTTATATGTTGGTTTACCAAATGTTGTTACTATGGGTTTATTGTTGTTGTGTTCGGGCATTGAATGTTTGCCTTTTATGTTTGGAACCTGCCCTGAGTCCCTCTGAGGAGATAGGGTGGAATATAAATACATTGTTGTTGTTGTTGTTACTACTACTACTACTACTACTACTACTTTGAGGCATTTTGATCTACACACATATAATAAGATGCAACAAGCTAATATCCTTCCCCCATGTTTCACAGCAAAGTTTTAAAGGCATTATCTTCCACTTCCTTCACAGGCTATACTTGCCATTTGGAGATGGGCTCCTGAACCTTTGTGATTATTCCACTTTTCCAGGGGTCCTGTATCACTAATCCAGAGAATATGTAGGGATGACTGCATATCATCTCCCAGAACCTTTTTTTTGCAGGGGGGTCCCTTGAGGGAACTGGGGAGGGACGGGACAAAGTCCAAGAGCCACAGAGAAACCCCTGGGATGTATGTGACCCATAAATTACAGTTTCACCTCCTTTTCTGGACTACAAAAGCTCATCTGGTTTTACTGGAGTCTTCGTTCTAGATTTGCCTTTGTGTTTGGAAAGAGAACAAGGACAGACTTCTTTGCTCTTTTTAAAAATCAGTCACAGGCAGTGGGGCAGCCAAAGCAGGATTACCTGAGCATTCCTACTTTGGACCTATGAAAATGTGTTATTATATAGAATCCACAATGGGAAAATTACCTCTATTCCTAAGTACTAATATGGATTTTTGAATTTTCCTTTTGCTTTAGGCCAGTGGTTCTCAGCCTGCAAGTCCTCAAATGTTTTGGCCTACAATTCTTAGAAATCCCAGCCAGTTTACCAGCTGTTAGGATTTCTGAGAGTTGAAGGCCAAAACATCTGGGGACCCACAGGTTGAGAACCACTACTCAAGGCAGCTATCCTTACTATGAAATCATTCAAGAGCCACAAGCAGCTCTCTTGTGGTCCACTTGTTGGGAGAATTACATCAATCTTAGGCTCCTTCTACACTGCCATATAAAATCCAGATTATCTGATTTGAGTATATGGTAGTGTAGACTTGTATAATCCACTTCAAAGCAGATAGTGTGGTTTATCTGATTTGATAATCTGGATTATATGGCAGTGTAGAAGGGACCTCAGTTTTCTCAGAATACCAGAGTACCTGTTTAATTCATTACAGGTCTTAAATCAGATAACTGCTTTTCTTTTTAAACAGCAGGGAGAACTCAATCAATGCATAACAAATATCAGAGGGAATAGAGTGGGGAAATCTTGACATTTGTGTCCAGATCTAATTTCTATTGCACTGGGAGTTCCACCTTGGTATTTTTTTCCTTCATTTTTTTTTAGGTAGATACTTCTAAAACATTTGGTGAACAAAGCCCATCACAGTTTCAATTTCGAAGTGCAAGACAAAGTCCATCAAGAAATGCTCACAAATATCAGTTGAAACGAGGTACATATGTTCCTCTTACACATAATAATAATAATAATAATAATAATAATAATAATAATAATAATAATAAGTGAGAGTCAGCATGGTACAGTGGTTTGAGTGTTTGACTGAGATCTCTTCCACACAGCTGAATAAAATCCCACATTATCTACGTTGAACTGGTATATATGGATTCAGATAACCCATTTCAAAGCAGATATTGTGGGATTTTCTGATGTTCTGGGTTATGTGCCTGTGTGGAAGACACTGGGAGACTGGGGTTCAAATTCTCTCTTCACAATGGAAACTCACCATCCCAGGCCCCTTCTAGACTGCTATGTAATCCAGTTCAAAGCAGATAATCTGGATTTTATTATATGGCAGTGTAGAAGGGGCCTCAGTCTCTCCACCTCAGAGAAAAGGCCAATCTCCTCTAAAACAATAACATTTATTATATAACAGAAATAAATTGCTATCATATATAATTAAGATTGTGAATATCTGATAATGCCTTAATGTCTCAGTATACTGTTATATTTTGACAAATTAAGTTTTCTAGTGATAATAAGATTGCTATTCTTTACTGCTGCTAGTTCACACAGGGGATCAGAGACTCACTAGAAAGGGAGGGGTGAGGACTGATAATGGTCTTTGCAACACTCTCTATGCACGAATTATGACCATGGTTGGTGGAGGATTCTGAGAATTACAGTCCAAAAAAAAAGTAGCATTTCAATGCTTCCTCTTTGGCAGAAGCACAGGCCCTTCCACTGCTGATGACAATCATGTTTTTAAATAAGGTAGTGTATATTCCATTTTTACTCTGTTGTGCCCCAGCTCAGGATAATAATAATAATAATAATAATAATAATAATAATAATAATAATAATAATGTTTGCTAGGAATTGCATTACTTCACTAATGAATGTACTCCTCAGAGGTTTAAAGCAAATCCTCTCTGTATATAAAGCTGTGTTGACTTAGGAAGAATTTTCATTGTTCTTCAGGTTTTGCCCCTGTCCATTCCTGTAGTTTTCCATCCCCCCCCCCCAGTTGTGGTCACTGCCCTCTTACTTAATCAGCAGGACATGTAGTGCAACACACATCTTGAGGCTCTTGAGACAGTGAGAGTAGGTCTATATGCAAAGACAAAACTGAAATAGCTGCAGTAACTTAGTTTAGCAACTTCATCGAACCCTATTAAAAGATTGCCCAAAGCAAATAGTGCTCTTTGTTTGCTGGAAATTAAATGGTCTTTTCACATTATGGAAATAAATGTGTAGTTGTGACAAAACTGTAGAAGTGTTTTGCAACCTAGGGGTCAGGACCCTTGGGGAGGTTGTGAGGGGGTTTCAGAGGGGTTGCCAAAGACCATCAGAAAACATATATTTCTGATGGTCTTAGGAACCCCTTTGGCAGAGAAGGTTGAAGATCTCTCTGCCTGTCCTCCTACCAAAAGCTCTCCTCCGCGGTGATTGGCTGGCCTCTCAGATAAGAGGAGGACTGTTAGTGAGACTCCAAGTGAGGAGGGGAGAGCAAGTGTGCTCGGTGCATGGTGCGCATGTGAGGGCAAGGGAGAGTGTGCAAGACAGGAGGGAGACTCGCGCTAGCGAGTCCCTTCAAGGCATGGGGGTTTTGTGTGGGAAGGTTTGGCCCAATTCTATCATTGGTGGGGTTCAGAATTCTCTTTGATCATAGGTGAACTATACATCTGAGCAACTACAACTTCCAAATGTCAAGGTGTATTTTCTCCAAACTCCACCAGTGTTCACATTTGGACATATAGAGTATTTGTGCCAAGTTTCATTGTTTGAGTCCACAGTGCTCTCTGGATATAGGTGAACTACATATCCAAAACTCAAAGTCAATGCCCATCAAACCCTTCCAGTACTTTCCGTTAGTCATGGGAGTTTGGTGTGTCAAGTTTGGTTCAATTCCATTATCGGTGTAGTTCAGAATGCTCTTTGATTGTAGGTGAACTACAATCCTAGGAACTACAACTTCCAAATGACAAAATCAATTCCACCCAACCCCACCCGTATTCAAATTTGGGAGTATCAGGTATATGTGCCAAATTTGATCCAGTGTATGAAAATACATCCTGCACATCAGATATTTACAAAATTAGCAAAATTACAGTTATGAAGTAGCAACAAAAGTAATTTTATAGCTGGGGATCACCACAACATGAGGAATTGTATGAAGGGGTTGCGGCATTAGGAAGGTTGGGAAACATTGCTGTAGAACATAGCCAGATGTCTTTTCCTAAGCATATCCTTCCAAGGGGATATAACACCTTCCCAAATGACAGGATTTTTGTGAATGTCACAGATGTTTGTTGGATCCCCTGTGCCCTGTATAATTTTGTACACCTTTAACATTTTTGGGTTGCTGTGAGTTTTTCCTGACATTTCACCTGCAACTGTGGCCGGGATCTTTAGAGGTCTGAAGATACCAGCCACAAATGCAGGCGAGACGTTAGGAGAGAATGCAGCTGGAACATGGCCATACAGCCTGAAAAACTCACAGCCACAGTGTGATCCTGGCCACAAAAGCGTTTGACAACACATTTAACATTTTTGTTAACTGTGCTTAGAATCATATGTAGAAAAAAATGTCAGGTAGCTTTTCAATTTCAGTAGCAGCAACTTCATCACAGCCATGGAGTATTAACAGAAAGAAAATGCTGTATTTGTGCTCTCCTTCTCCACCATCGCCTTTTCTCTTGCAGCAAAGCCAATGCAACTGTGCAGAATGTCACTGGAATTAGCAAATCGATTGACTTTATTAAGCTCTAAAAATGAAACCATGAGTTTTTCGTGTGGTTGGGAAAGGCTCACGGGTATTGTAAGTGGGGAAACCAAAGAGCTCTTTGATGGAGGGATCCATCCCAAGCATCCTGTGGGGAGAGCTACACCACAGACTTAGATTGGTTTGATAGTAATTACTTCTTTGTAGGAAGCCCAGAAATTATAATTAAGTTTGCAAAGGAGTTGAGGATGGCAGCTAGATATTGCTCAGTCACATGCAGTATTTAAGTATCTTACGCTTGTAAATACTCTCATCAAACAGGGCAATGAAAGGAGTGGATACGCATCTTAAGTCGCTCCAAATTACTGTTACCTGGAAAGAGGCCTAGACCATGCTTGCGTTTCATATGTTTCTGTATTTTTTTGATTTGATGAGAGTGCCTCTTGTGCTCAAAACAGAATCGTCCACTGAATGCTTGATACGCAATAAAATGGCCTCAGATAACATATCAAATGATGGAGGAGAGAGGCGTCTTTCTGTTGTGAATGTGGCTGGTGCTCCTCTTCATGCTCTCAGCTCTACAGGCTCAAGTGACTGAGGGGAACAGTACATGAGATAGGCATATATAAAGTTCACCTCAGGGTTGCAAAATGAAGGTCTCTCACATATATGCTTGCTTTAGTGAACTGAAGAGGGCTTTTGTACATTTAATGACTGTAGAAAAGGGAGATTCAGCAGTATTGCTTGTTACCTGGTTTAATGGCAAGCAACACTTGCTGAAATTTCCTCTTCCACGCAACTGTTAAAGGCGTGGGAGCTGCTCCACTTTTCAATCTGGCAGACTAGTCACAAGGAGATTTCTAATCTCACAAGAGTATAGTAGTCTTGTGAAAGGTCCCTGTTTTGTAATATTGAGATGGTCTTTATGTAGACTTGTCTTGAACTGGCTTGGTAACAGAGAAGGCTCTCCTGTCTGGCTGTGTGACAATCTTGGGAAGTTCTGTGTAATGTGTTGTCAAAGATTTTCATGGCCGGAATCACTGGGTTGCTGTGAGTTTTTCGGGCTGTATGGCCATGTTCCAGAAGCATTCTCTCCTGACATTTCACCCACATTTATGGCAGGCATTCTCAGAGGTTGAGGGAAACTAGGCAAGTCAGGCTTATATATCTGTGGAATGTCTAAGGTGGGAGAAAAAAAATCTTGTCTGCTTGAGTTAAGTGTGAATGTTGCAATGAGTCACCTTCAGTAGCATTTGATGGCTTTGCAACTTCAAAGCCTGAGTGGTTGCTGCTTGGGGAATCATTTGTTGGGAGGTGTTAGTTGGCCATGAATTATTCTTGTCTGAAATTCCCCTGTTTTTGAGTGTTGTTCTTGATTTACTGTCCTGATTTTAGAATTTTTTAAATACTGGTAGCCAGATTTTGTTCATGTTCATGGTTTCCTCCTTTTTGTTGATATTGTCCACATGCTTGTGGATTTCAGTGGCTTCACTGTGTAGTCTGACATGGTAGTTGTTAGAGAGGTTCAGCTTTTTTGTGTTCTCAAATAATATGTTGTGTCCAGGTTGGTTCAAGTGCTCTGCTATGGCTGACTTCTCAGGTTGAGTTAGTCTGCAGTATCTTTCGTGTTCCTTGATTCGTGTTTGGGCAATGCTGCATTTGGTGGTCCCTATGGAGACTTGTCCACAGCTGCATGGTATATGGTAGATTCCTGCAGAAGTGAGAGAATCCGTCTTGTCCTTTGCTGAATGTAGATTTGTTGGATTTTCTTAGTGGGTCTGTAGATTGTGTTTCTTCATCAGCTTCCCTATGCGGTCAGTGGTTCCCTTGATGTAAGGCAAGAACACTTTTCCTCTGGGTGGATCTTGTTTTCAATGTCGTGGCTTGTTCGTGGTCTTGTGGCTCTTCTGATGTCTGTATAAGTTTTTTTATTTTGTCACCAGTGCCTGAACCAGCCCTTGGTCATCCAGATTACAGTTCCAAACAGTCATATGGTGTGTCGTGTCATTGTGTCATCAGCAACCATTGTATTACAATTCTAACAGAGCAAAACAAACACAGAGATTAAAAAGAAAAAGAAAAAAAAGAAAGAAAAAAAACCCACACAGATTTTGCAAATTTGGTATTTGGTTAAATGTCCTTTGACCAGTATCTGGCCACTTGGAGTGCCTCTGGGGTTGCCGCAAGAAGGTCCTCCATTGTGCATGTGGCAGGGCTCAGGGTGCATTGCAGCAGGTGGTCAGTGGTTTGTTCTTCTCCGCACTCGCATGCCGAGGATTCCACCCTGTAGCCCCATTTCTTAAGATTGGCTCTGCATCTCGTGGTGCCAGAGCGCAATCTGTTCAGCACCTTCCAAGTCGCCCAGTCTTCTGAGTGCCTAGTCATATGGTAGGAAAGCATGACAGTTAAGCTACCACAAGGCAATATAAATTTCTCACAGCTTAAAAGAGACAATTTTGAAATACAGTTCAAAGTTCAAAGATACAGTTCAAAGAATCTCTCAGCCAGCCGGTATAAATTGTGGCCGGATCTATGCTGCCAAATAATGCAGTTTCAGAATGCAATTTAACTACATTGAATTGGATTATATGGCAGTGTAGACTCATATAATCCCATTCAGTTAAATAGAATAGAATAGCTTTGCTGTCATTTTGCTATTGCATAATGAAATTAAATGTCCTTCCCCAGCACACACCAAAGAACAACACACCCATCCCTCCACACCCCAACCACATCTGTATAGCCCCCAATGTCACATCAGTGTGAAACTATGGAGTTCAACATAGTCACAGTTCTAGGAAAAAACCTCTCAGTCTGTTTGTCCTTGTCTTTGTCACCCTGCATTCTGAAACTGCATTATTTGGCAGTGTAGATCCAACTGGCATTATAAGAAATCTGTTGCGTCTACTGTTGAAATTCCAGTTCCTGGAAGAAGCGTGACAGTTCTGAATGTAAAAACCTAACTCCAGCTGTTAGTCCCAATTTAGGGTAAATCTAATGACTTATAATGACATTCATGTAAATGTTAAATTACCTTTAAGCAGTTGATTCAATGAGTCTGCCATAGTTGGGACTAACAATTACATTTAGGTCAATATGTTATACAACCATTCCTCTGTATCCATGGGTTCAACCACCCACTCCTTGAAAATATTCCCTCCTTCAAAAGAAATTATCTAAAAAAGCAAACATTGATTTTGTCATTTTATCTCAGGAGTACCAAGTTACTATGCCATTGTATATAACAAGATTTGAGCATCTTTTTAAAAAAATGATTTAAAAAAATATTTTCACAATTGTTTTGAATAGTGCCACACAAAATTATACGAACATTCAAAAACGTTTCCATTAGTAACACATGTTTACATCACTTCCCCTCTTTCTCCTCCCCCCCTCCCCAGGAACAGTTACAAATTTTGCGGTAATTATTATTATTGTTCTCATGATCAAACTATCGAGATTTGAGCATCTAAAGATGTTGGTATCCACGAGGTTGGTGATGGTTCTGAACCAAACTCCAGTGGATACCAAAGGCCCCTATAAACATTGACTAATGGGCATAAGTACACATATTAAAACATCATGTAAGTTTTCTCAGTTCTCTTTTCATATATGAAAAACACAAACTCTTAACACTATAGGCTTATTTTAATTATTTAGAATGGATTTTCTTTTGTTTCTTGCAGCATTATCATTTGATAGCTGGAAAGCATCATGTCCAGAAACTAAGGTAATGGCAGTCTTTAATCATAGCTAGTAAATTAACTGATGGAACATATATGGTTTTACTGGGAGCGTTTTTCTCATAGTGGAGCTTGAGATGGTGAAATGACAAACACCAAAGAGAAAAATGATGTGCCAGTAGATACTGTGTATATAACTTTCAAAAATGTGCTTTGAAAAAACACAGTGTGGTTTTCTTGAGATGAAGTTCCTTGGGTTTTTCTGTCAGTAGTTATCTCCACATCTACGTATTCCATTATTTCTGGTGTGTGTGTGTCAAAGTCTTATATCAATTTCTTAGAACTTTACTAGGACTTTTATAAAGATTTGTTTAACACCTGGGTGTGCTGAAGTGGTCCTGTAGTTTGAAAAGTTAATTTTCTACTCTCTTAATATTAATTACGTTTTGTATCCCAGGTCCTGCCTCTTGGGCCAAAACATGTAAACCAGTGGTTCTAAACGGACCACCAGTGGGCTGTGAGGATGACAATCTGGTCCGCGAGCCACCTTTCGCTTTATTTTTTTAAATTTTTCCCGCTCCTTTACTCTTGCCACTCCTTCCGTATCACGGACCATGGCATATGTTCTGTATCAGAAACTAGAACTGATATGTTCTATCCGATGATATGTTCTATCTGATATGTTCTATCCGAATTTTCTGAATCAGCACCCCAAACCAAATCTAAAGTTGACCAAAAACTGATTTGTAGCTCTTTTGGTACTAATGTTGGAGAGTGGTCCCTGGTCAAAGTGGTCCCTGGTCAAAGTGGTTCCTAGTCAAAAAAGGTTGGGAACCACTGATGTAGCTGTGTCATTATACATTTATATCCCTGACATGGTACATAACCATGTTAGAGAAATGCAACAGTGTGGAACAGTGTGCAGTGCAAGATGTCCCGTTGTATAGCGGGAATTCCCACTTCATAATAAACATCATGAAAGTTGTACTTCTGTGCAGCTAGAGGTTCCCACCACACTACAGTAGTCAGGCACAGGGCACCTATAAGGAGTAAGGGAGAGAATAATAATAATAATAATAATAATAATAATAATAATAATAATAATAATAATTTTATTTGTATTCCACCTTATCTCTCCAGGGGGACTCAGGGCAGATTCCAACATACAAAAAGGCAAACATTCAATGCCTCAACAAAACAAACACATGTTAATGAGTAATCCAAAATAACCCCACATATGAAAATAGCATCAGAATCTAACATCAATACATTTAACAAAAATTATTCAAACAAATTTATATAATGGCATAAAACCTAAACAATAAAATATCTGCATTGAGAAAGATCCAACATCTTGATGTATAGGTATTATTGACCTGGATGGAAAGGTGGGTTTGCTTATTTTGGAAAACATGTGATATATATCTCATGTAAAAAAAAATTCTCTCCATTTTTTTTCTTCCTGGAAAAGTATTCCGAGACCAGTGGGCCCCTTTAAGGGTGTTAGGATAAGCATTATCTTGCCTTTAACCTTTGTTTCCTTGTTTTGACTACTGGAAAATGGTTCTTTTCTTCACAGGTTATCAGAGAGCCAGTTGAACAATATAGTTCAGATCCTGCTTTGTCGTCATCTCCGGAAACAAATGAACCTGTCAGTGATCCACTGAATGCTCCTACTATTTCCTCAAAACTGGAAACAAAGGAACCTGTCAGTGATCCACTAAATGCTTCTGCTATTTCCTCAAAACCGGAAACAAAGGAACCTGTCAGTGATCCACTGAATGTTCCTGCTATTTCCTCAAAACATTACTGGTCACGAAGTCCTCAGGAGAGATGGGCAGAATACAGGTTACCACTCCTAAGCTGGAATTTCCTTAAGGACATACATAGGCTATAAGTGTTCTTTACACAAGTTAATGGCCTTTTTCAGGTTCTGGCAGGGATTGCTATTCATTGCCTCCCTCTGCAGCACACACGTACGCACACGCACAACTTACTGTAAAACAATTGAAGCTGCTCTGCACAGCTATTCATATCTTTGATGACAAGATCTGAGAAATGTCTGACTATATCCCTATACCAGATACACAATGATGAGATCCATGGGGTTTCCAAGAGGTCTCAGTGCTGACACCATCACTGTGTCTAGGTAGTCAGACCCTTTTCCAATACAACTGGTTTTGCGCGGAAGCATAGAATAGCTCCAAAGGATTTCAATAATGTCTGTTTGTGTAAGTGCCTTCAAGTCACCTGTTTACTTTTGATGACCACATAAATTTTCTAGTATTGTCTTAGGTCAGGAATGCTGAGAGGGGGTCTTGACCATTCCTTCCTCTGAAATATAGGCTTTAGCCCCTGGTATTCATTAAAGGGAAGATATATATGGCTCAGTGTAGTGTAAGCCTGCATATGGATATTTATGCTATCCTTGGGGGTGTTGGATTGAAACTCATAATAATGACATGCCAGACTTAGCCTCAGCAGTCAACATTTCTGGAGCCCACACTGCCAGTCTTCAATAGCTGCTAGTCAATAGTAGTAGCTGGTGTTTGTGGTCCACTTGTCTCATTAGGATCAGGAATCAGTCCCTTTGGGAAGCAGCAGACATGATGCGAAAGACAGCTAGAAGAGAAGGGATGTTAATCTTAGCTTACACAAAGAAAAAAAAGGCTTTTAATGCCTTTTTACATTAAACCCTTGTGTCAGCAGGACTGCTGACTGACAGGTCAGCGTTTCGAATCTGCGGAGAGCAGGTTGAGCTCCCTCTGTCAGCTCCAGCTCTTCATGTAGGGACATGAGAGAAGCCTCCCCAAGGATGGTAAAACATCAAAACATTTGAGCTTCCTCTGGGCAACATCCTTGCAGATGGTCAATTCTCTCACACCAGAAGCAACTTTCTCAAGTTGCTCCTGACATGGGAAAAACAAACAAACTAACTAATCCCACAAAAAAATTAAACTATAGAGAACATTATTTCCAAGTGCTTGTTCAGACACTATGTGCTTCTCTCAGTGCCATATTGTAAGATGAAATGTGTGGAAGGCTATCAACTTACGATAAATGTGAGCAACCTGTGGCCTTTTAGATGTTGGATTCCAACATCCTTCAGCCACAGATAGCCAGTGGTGACCAAGTTGTCTACCTTTTCCTTATTGTCAAGCTATCTCTACATCTAGGCTAGTGACTGCTGATTATTTGCTGCTGTTTTGGTTTCCAAGGTTTGAAAGTGGGACCTTCTTCATTGCCTTGATTTTGACGGACACTGGAATCACAACAGATGACTGCAAAGATCTTGCTTTGACTGATATCTCACATGGAGAAATCTATCCATTGCTCAAATATGTTTATACTGGATGTAATTTAATGGGTTACATATTCACACCAGAATTAATCCCATTTCATTGGATGTTGCTTCTATGACCTTGGTTAATACTCTCCTCCAGCATCATTTTCAAAGAGTTACAGTGATACCTTGACTTAAGAATGGAATTTGTTCCACGACTATGTTCTTAAGTCAAAAGATCCTTAAAGCGAATTTTCCCATTGAAATGCTATTAATCCATAACAGCCCCCTGAAAACCACCCCAATTTTTGTTATGTGTTTTAAAATAAGAAAATATACTTTATAAATAACAAATGATGTACAAAATGTTGTGAGATAGGCAGTGCTTTGTTCCATCCAGCCACTGTGGCATGGAAGCACATTTGAGACAACAAAATGTGTTGGCCAGTGTACAGCAAGGCAGAACAGCATTATCTTCTTCATACTGTAATTCCAATCTCCTGCCCTCCCTCTCTTGTGCTCCCCCCATTCTTGAAGTGAAATATACAGTACCAGGATAAAAAGCACACAAGTGAACTAACTCAAACTTCCTCAGTGGGCAGCAATCCCCCAAAGCAGAGAAGAGCATGCAGGCAAAGGCATGCAGGCTGAGGCACTGAACCACAAGCTACAATGGCTGTTTTGGTCTGCTGGAAGCCCTGTACTCACTGTTTAGGCTGAGGCTTTGCTGCACCAGGCAGACTGCAATCTCTGGAGTGGAATATCTGCAACCTCATGGAGCTGGAGTTTTGGTCTTGCAGAAAGAGCCAGAGCTGCTCCGGCTAGGAATCCAGTCCAGTTTTTCCCCCCACTCTGCCTTGTGGTTAGAACTGGCTTAGGAGGAAGAGTGCTCTTTTTGCACTGTTCATAGGTCAAAACAGCATTTGGATGTCAGAATGTCACTCTAGGCCAAGTGAGGATTTGTAAGTTCATACATACTTACGTTGGGAATTTCTTATGTAGAGGTTCTACTGTACTTCTCTTCCAAGCAGCTTTCGTTATTGTCCAATTTTCACAACTGTACACAGAAATTAGGAACATTGTGGCGTGGGTGATTTTGACTAGTGTTTGATATATAGAGCAGTTTTTAAATATATATACCTGGAGTTACACTGCTTGGACATTACATGATGGAGAGAACAAAAGAATGAATATAAAGTGACTTGAATCCACTGATATTTTTCAGGATGTACAGCAGCCCTGATACCACCTGGGAAGAAATTAATGAGAGAGTGAGGAATCTCCTAACCTCAGATGAGGCCAGGCAGAGACTTTCTGTTGTGAGTATGGTGTGTTTAACAAGCTCTGCCCAAGTTATTTTGCAGTCTCGGTTCGACACAGCATTTCCCTCTCAAATCAAAGTGCAGAGCTCTCAAGGTCAATCTGCAGAAGAGCTCTCTCTCTAGCAATAAAAGAACACAGTGATGATGAAATAAGCAACAATTTGCTGGTTATTTGTCACAGGCAAAAGTGTTGGCCTTAGCTAGCTGCCTTGTTCTGCTTCATGGTAGGGCTGGCTGTACAAGGTGATGGGTTATTATCAAATGGGGTTATGCAAGCAACTAAGCACCTTTTATCTGTCTCCAAATATTCTACCGGAAATTGCTTTGTAATGTAAATTAAAGTCTTAGAATATATTTATAATATTGTGGCAAGGTTCTCAGGGTCCTACTAGATGAAGTGAGAGAGATGTGGAAGTATTTTATTTACTTGTGTAAAAGTTGACCTTGTGTATAATTTGAGGACAAATTTTGAGGCCAAAATCATAGGTTTTTAGGGGAGTCCTTTGGCATTTCCCTTTAAAGGAGTACTTAATAATATCGTCGTCGTCATCATCATCATTTTATTTCTTACCCGCCTCTCCTTGTGGCTCGAAGTGGGTTACAGAATAATTAAAACATGTAATCTTTGTAAAAATACCACAGATACACATATTAAAATGTATTTTTTTATAAAAGATACATAGTAAAGGTGAAGGTTTCCCCTGATATTAAGTCTAGTTGTGCCTGATTCTGCGGTGTGGTGCTCATCTCCATTTATAAGCTGAAAAGCCAGCATTGTCTGTAGACACCTCCAAGGTCATGTGGCCAGCATGACTGCATGAAGTGCTGTTACCTTCCCACCAGAGTGGTACCTATTGATCCACTCACATTTGCATGTTTTTGAACTGCTAGGTTGGAGAAGCTGGGCCTAAACAGTGGGAGCCCACCCCACTCCCCAAATTCAAACTGCCAACCTTTCTTTCAGTCAGCAAGTTCAGCAACTCAGAAGTTTAACCCACTGCGCCACCAGATATATATTACATATTACACAAGATACATATTAAAATGTGTTTCTTTGAAATATGTATTAAAATACACAAAACAGGTATTAAAAACTGTCTAGGTAGGCCTGCCAGAAGATTTTTTTTATGGTTTTAAAATTCCAACAGTTCATTAAGCTGAGTACGTAGGCTGGATCTATACTGCCTTATATCTCAAGATCTGATCCCAGATTATCTGTTTATCCCAATTCAAAGCAAATAATCTGGGATCCGATCTTGGGATATAGGGCAGTGTAGATCCAGCCATAGTCACACATTCATGCGAGTTAATTATTTGGATAAACCTTTATTAAACAGGTAGTCTGACTGAAAAAACTCCTAAGGGCAGTGCTGTACATCACTCATTCCTGAAGGCCTGCTAATGAGATGCTTTCATTCTCCTAGAATGACGGATGTATTTGTTTTTAAGCAGGAATATTTAACAGTGCTGACTATGATGAACAACCTAAGCTAACAGGGCAAGTATTTTGCAGGGAGCCACTGATCTGGAAATTGATGAAGTCCTTGAAAGAAGGTCCATCTCACTGAGGAGTTCTCCCCAGAACGAATCAATGGGCAAAAGATACAACTCATAGCTGTCCCCTGCAAGGTATAATGCTTAAAGTTCTTTCCTCTTTTTATGTATCGGATTGATATATTTGAGAAGGTTAAAAAATAGCCAAAAAAAAAAAAGAATCAGGAAGGTTTTGAACAATCTAGAATATACATGTGAGACAAAGTGTTTACAACCATATGCTAGACAGGTATATTTTTGGATATGCACCTGTCATTTGCTTATGAATTTTCCCTTACTGTGTTTCATTTCTGCATTTCCTGAAAATACACAGTCACCTCTGCTTTGAAAAGTGACACAGCATGGGATTGTAATCTTTGTTGCTTCCCAATAGCATAGCAACATTGCTGTTATAAAGAAGTTATGCAATTCAAATGTCATTAAAGCCTTTGGGGGATAGTTCCTCTTTGGATCCAGATCTGGCTTCAGATCCTGAAAAAAAAAGAAAAATGCTATTGCTTTGTAATGTACTTTGAGGATTTTTCTCTGATCATAAGTTAGTAGAAATAGGAAATAATCCAGGACAGCAAGCAGAACAAGTGACCTGGGTATGCCATGGTCCTACCTTAATAGGTAGCAGTTTTCTGACTGATGAGCAGGATCCCTCAGCAGAAAAGGGTTCTCTGAGAGTAAGAAATAGAATTAGTCATCCAGAAGAAGAAGGTTTCACCTTTTTGCTGAAGTACAGGACATGTTAGTCCACCTGTGGCATATTTTTCTGCAGAAGAGGGCTGGCTGTACAAATATAGACATTCTGCAACGTTATTTTCTGGACAGTTGAAAACAATATCTCAAATGCTTCTGTAACATGGCCATACCGCCCTGAAAACTCACAGCAACCCAGTGATTCCAGCCATGAAAGCCTTCCACAACACAATTATCTCAAAATTTGAACCATTTGTCATGTGTAGTTTTGTTTGGTTTTGAAAGCCATTGTCCAGCAGATCTACTGCTTGCTGAGAATTGAGAGACATTTTTGTCTCAGTCAGCAAAGTAAGACCAATTTATTTGCTTTGGTGAACCATGATGCAATGAATCAGAAATTATGTATGTCAGCAAATTGGGCTCATTTTAGGTTGGGGGACATTAATAGTTCTCACTTTAGTACACTTTAGATAAATGTTTAATGAATTGTTGAGACATGGTTTTCACACTTCCTTGGAAAATAAGGATTCAAAATAATAATGTTACAAAAACAAAGCTTGTATAGATTTATTCAAGGAGAGCATTTCTCTGTTTTCATTTCCTGTGGTAAGAGGTAACTCTTTTCTTTTGCAGAACAAATGCAGTAGCCTTGAGATATGTGTGAAGATCCATTGCTGGCAAGATCATCGTTCTGTCAAAAATTGATGGATGTCTCAACTGTGCTGAAAAGTAGCCGCTGTATTGTATGCTTGTGCTGATTAAATTGTTGATTTATACAATTTCAAAGAAGTGCAAACATATCAGTTCAGTTCAGGTTGGAGCCACGAGAGTTTTGATGCCACGGTACATACTCAGCTGTGAAAAGTATTCCCCATGAAGAAAAAATGAGTTATTTTACCAATTAAAATAAATGGTGTGATCATGCTCCATTTCAGTGTTTCCAAACTGTAGGGTATAACCCAATAATCCAGGGATGCTATTTTGAATTGACTAAAGATAGAGGCAAATTGATTTTAATCATGTAGGTACTGGAGAGATTCATACCAAGCTGTACAACCTCTCTTTTGGGATGCATCTACACCAGGCATGGGTAAACTTCGGCCCTCCAGGTGTTCTGGAGTTGAAGTCCAAAACACTTGGAGGGCCGAAGTTTGCCCATGCCTGATCCACTTTAACTACTGTTACTCAATGCAATGGAATCATGGGAATTGTAGTTTTCTACATATTTTAGCCTTCTGTGCCAAAGAGTGCTGGTGCCTCACCAAAGTACAAATTCAAGGATTCCATAGCATTGAGCCATGGCCATTAAAGTGGAGTCAAAAACACTTAGAGCAGTGGTTCTCAACCTGTGGGTCCCCAGATGTTTTGGTCTTCAAGTCCCAGAAATCCTAACAGCTGGTAAACTGGCTGGGATTGCTGGGAGTTGTAGGCCAAAACACCTGGGTACCCATAGGCTGAGAACCACTGACCTAAAGCAAAGTGAAGGTGCAGTGAGGATGCAATGCTGTATGTCCCTAGTTGTAAAACCTGAATCAGATCTGCATCACAGTCATGGTTCCAATCATAGAATCTCAAAATAGTAATAGAAATGAAGGCTTGGCTAGGTTTGCAGTAGAAGGTGTTTAATACCTTTCCAGTCACCTTGCCAGCCTGGGGAATTTGAAGAGAGAACTAGACAACCCATCAAACCCCACCTTGCTCATAAATAATGGCAAATCAGTCAAGAATAAGTCACATGTAATCAGTGAGCAGATGAGGGAAAGTGGACGGAGAGTGGGGGATAGTGTGGTCTATAAATACCATCTTCACCTGACTAGATTACCTACTAAGGAGCTGAATCATTTTGAGTGTGTGTATCTGAGTCTGAAAACCAGGGATAGACTAGGGGTTCTGTTGGTGTACCATTCAGCCCACTGACTTCCTGGCCGAGCTCATGGAACTGGTCTTGGAGATGTTATTGGAGCCACCAGACTTTTGTGTCTGGGTGATTTCAGCATACTACTGGAGGCCAATCTGTTAGGTGCACCTCAGGAGTTCATGAGATCCATGACAAATATGGGCCTATCCCAATTAGTTTCAAGACCAATACATTCAGAAGGTCATACCCTTGATGTGATTTTCAGTTTGGAACATACAAATCTGTGGACGGAGGTGATCAATACCTCCAAGTCGACATGGACAGATCACTGTCTGGTCATGGCTAGTATCACAGCTACAACCTACCCCTGCAAGGGTGGAGGACCTATTAAAATGACCCATCCTTGAAGGCTAATGGATCCTTTGAGATTCCAACTATACAGTCTCAGCTAAGGATAGCATGTCTCCTCTGAACAAATCCCTACTTACTTAATTACTTACTTACTTATTTACTTAGGCGATCTCTTGTAGCCAGAAGATAAACAAATGCCTAGAGGAGGTAATGGGCTGGGTGAGGAAAAACAAATTGAAATTGAATCCAGACAAAACAGAGGTGCTTGCCATCAAGGGTCCTCATCTGGGAATGGAGGTGTATCAACCAGTTCTGGGTGTGGTTACACTCTCCCTGAAAGACTGTTCACTGCTTGGGAGTGCACTTGGGCCCGTTTCTCCAAATGTCAGCCCAGGTAGATGTGATGGTTAGGAGTGCTCTATCCAATATAATTTTCTGAATCAGCTGCACCACTTGGAGGACCTAAAGGTGGTAGTGCATGCACTGTAATGTGCTTTATGTATCAAGTTCAGAAACTCCAGCTGCTTCAAAATGTGGCAGCCAGATTGGTTATGGGAACATCGAAAAATGAGCATATTACACCTATCCTAAATTCATTCCACTGGCTGTCAATTAGTTTCTGGGCAAAGTACAAGACGTTGGTTTTGACCTTTAAAGCCCTACCTGGTTTGGGCCCAGGTTACCTATAGGATTGCCTTCTCCCATACAATCCACCCCATACACTTAGGTCTTCTGTAGGACAGTTACTCCATCCTGTCAGAACTCAGCTGGCAACCATCACCCAGAGGACCTTTTCATCGACCGCCTCAAGAGCTCTGACAACTAAATTAGTTTGAAAACCATCTAAAGACCTATCTCTTCTGGCAGGCCTACCCAGCCAATGTTATGCATTAATTTTAAACTCATGTCTTGTGTTTTAATCTCTGTCTTGTGTATTTTATAGAAATACATTTTAATATGTATTTTATAGAACTATATTTTAATATATGTATTTATAGAATTTTTGCAATGTTTGTGTGGTTTGACTGTTGTGACCCGCCACAAGGAAATACGGGTAAGAAATAAAATTATTATTATTATTATTATTATTATTATTATTATTATTATTATTGTTAAATCTCATTCTGGAGGAGTTCTCATTACTTTCAGAGACATGCACTTATATGAATTATTCAGTTAAAGAGGAGTGATACCAATTAAAATATAGTGCTCATGTGTTTGGTGTTTCCCAAAGGCGTATCAAAGATGTTTTGTAGTAAAACTCCTATAATCCTGTCCCATCGTCCATGTTTACTGGGGCTTTTGGGAGATGACCACCAATGCCCCTAAACAGTTGATGATTTCTCATCTCTGATATAAATATAAAGGTATTGTCAAAGCTACTTTATACCCTACACAGGGAATTAAATTGCCTACTGGAATTCAGATTGGAACTGGTGATTTCATGAGTTCTACTATTCTGGTGATTTCATGAGTTCATTCTACTATTTCAGGATTTCACTTAGCCTTGGAGTCTGTTTTCGAGCCCAAGTATTCTTAGTTCTTTTAAGAATGTAAAAGTGGTGGTAACTGTGTAGCTCCAGTTGTTTTTGGACTGCAAATCCCATAATTCCTCACCATTGGCTATATTGGTAAGGGCTACAGGGAGTTGCAGGCCAGTAACTTCTGGAGGCCAATACTTTGTCTACTCATGTAAAGAGTAGACTTCACTTTTTTGCCAAGGAACCATAACCTACACAAATTTGAGATTTCAGATTTGAGTGCCACTGTGCCCAGGTTGCCTGAAGGGTTAACACATCTTGTTTTAGAAAGTAAGCACTGATTCTGCCTGGCTGGAAAAGGAAGATGGAATTAACCTTGTGCTTTCACTTTCTGGATGTTTTTGTTAGGGAAAAAGAAAATATGACCTTGGACTATACTAATGTATTCCATACAGCAAATTGCTAAATCACAGTTATGTCTCAAAGTTGGAAGAGGATCAAAGTAATTTTCTCTTAAAATTGCTGCTTTAAATGATTGTCCACCCTTCGGACCTTGTAGGAAGTGATTTATAGAAATTGAAGCCTTAATGCCATTGTGGGTTGCTTTATTTCCGCTCTGATACTCTACACTGCACAGACATTGGGTTGTAGCCTCAATTCATTTCAACCAGGTGAGTTGCTTCACCTTGGAAGGAGTAAAATTTCACATAGCAAAGTGGTTGTCCTAGATTGTTAGACGATGCTTAAAGAAGAATTAAAAATATTTTCTTGCCACCATCTCTGTTGGTATAAGTATTTTGTCCTGAAAATGTCTAAATTATATATGTATAAATTACTGAGAATGTAAAAGATTTAAAAAATTTATTGAGAACTTAAAAGTTAATAACTTTTTAGGCAGATTAACAGGATCACAAAGAATTGTCCTTATATTTATATACAACCATGTATATAAATACCATAAATCAATTAATTAGTTCATTTTGTGTGTGTAAGAGAGAGAGTTGTCTTGTCATTATCTAATAAATAATACAAATGATCATATTAAAGATGGTTTCTTCTTTTAGTATGCAGTAACATTTATTAAATTGTATATTATCTCATAAATCTGAAAAACTTGTGTTGACCTGTTGTGAAGTGTTTACTGTGGACTCTGCAGAAGGTGCTTCAGCTGTACTCCATAAAAAGGAAAAGCAGCCTGTTTAGAAAGCTTGCAAGTACTGATTTGTTGTCATTAAATGTTTGATATACCTGGGGTCATGTGAACATTTATCAGGCTGAAAGCGATCACTAGTGGAACATTTTTAGAGGCCCTGATCTAAAGTACATTTCCCAACTTACCGGGAAGCAAAGTTGGAGGCTAGGCATCAGGACAGAGCAAGCACTATTGCTGCCGTGGTGCTGAATGAAGTATCTTTTTTCCAGAAGCACTTGCACCGGATCTGGGAAAGCTGCGTGAACCATCAGCCAATCAGATTCAAGCATTGACTGAAATATGGGACTGAAACAAGTCTACTGGCTAGTTTTCACTCTGGTCCAGCACTGTGCACACAAGCAGCCTACCTCTCTGGAGTTCAGTCTTCTCCTACCGACTCATCCACTCTTCCTTGTATTTGACCCATCCACTCTTTCTTGCAATCAGCATTTTATTTGGCTTTCTTATCTAATTGTCACAACTTTGTGGGTGGTGTGTACAGGAGCCAGAATTATGAAGTGATGGCATTGGTTGGTCCTGTTTGGGGATTTTAATGGTTGGGATTATACCCAGCTCTGGGCAGTGTTGGAAGATCACAACCCTCCAGGACCAAGATAGGAAGGAGAAAGCTACCCCAAAAGTTTCAGCACTTCTTTCTGGTTGGATTTCATTAGATAGTCTTGGCCATGAACAAGGACAATGTTGCACATTGAAAAAAAAACCACATTTCAAGCATATACGTAGAAGCGCTTCTAGGTCTCTCATTTCTATCTGTAAGAACAAACCTGAAATGAATTTATTGATTCCTTAATTTTTTTTAATACTATCAAATTAGTCTAATTTTTAGAAGTGAACTCCAGATACTTTTTGGTGAATTATCTATTAAGGTACTGAAGTATATATTTCTTTCCCCTTTTAATCCTAACTGTAATAAGTGAATTGGTTTTAAATTGTCATGTCTATATAATTTTATATATCCTAATGAGACACCTAGGGAATTACTTGTCTCTCATCTCTTTGCTCTGCCAGACATTCAACACTTCTTCCCTGAGCTAAAGAATGTTATTTGTGTTCCAACAAGGAAAGTCAATCTGTTAGATGCATATATATATACATACAATGAAATTGGCTAGCTGTCTGTTTATAAATACATCATAGTGCATTCAGCTGGATTTATTCATACACACATCCCTAGACATAGGGAAATTTTAAAATCTTGTTGAAAGATGGAGGGGTGAAAGAATTCTTGCATTAAGTGTTACTGCTTGCAAGCACAATGGCCTTATGGAGAGCTTATTTCTAATTAGGCTACTGCTGTCACCCTTCAGTCTGTCTCTGAATATTGTGAGATGTGACATTATTGTTTCATGGTTTATTGATTGCAAACAGCCATATCAAGGAACAAATAGAAACAATCATACGCCCACTTTTATTATTGAGGTTGGCTTGTAACAGTTTCCTGTTGGAACATTTTGTTACATGTGAACCATCCAGTTTCCCCTAAAAAATCCATACTCTTATGTTTAAAGACTTTGTTTATTGCAAAAAAAATTGTCATTCCTCCCAGCAAGTCATGATAGATTCACAAAAATAATTTTAAGAATTTGGGATTGCCTATTCCTGACAGTGTATATTAAAAATGGATAAAAAAGTAGTTCTTCACAGAATGCACATCAAATCTATGGAATTAACTCTGGATGGTGGCTACTCATTGATGCCTTTAGAAAGCTGGTAAGACAAAGTACTGGACATCACTGTTATACTCTCTGGATCCTCCATGTTCAAGGCTGTATATCACTGAATACAAATTGCTGAAAAGCAATGACTAGAAGGAGCAGTTCCCTCTCTCTCTCTCTCTCTTTTTTTTTGGCTCTGAGTGCTATCTGGAAGCAGCTGTTGGCCTAGATCACTGGTTGCAGACATTTTAGATTTCAATTCAGGGAAGCTCCAGTCCCCGCAGTTTTTGAAAATATCTGGAGGGTAAAAGGTCGGGAACCACAGGACTACATAAACCATTTTATCTCATCCAGCATTTAATTAAAGAAGTCTTTTAGCAGGAAAGATTTTGAATACTCGGCCAAGACAAATTTTAGGATAGATGGGGTGGTGGTGGTGGGATACCATGATTACCAAATGTAGAAGGAGGCATTCTCATTAGAAAGAATGTTGCCTATCCCTCTTCCATAAGAGTATGCCCTTTCGTATCTAAAACAGTGGTTCCCAACCTTTTTTTAACCAGGGATGGCTTGACCAGGGACTACTTTGACCAGGAACCACTCTCCAACATTAGTACCGAAAGGGTTACAAATCAGTTTTTGGTCAGTTCTGTTATTTGGGGTGCTGATTCAGAAAATTATAATGGATAGAGCACATCATCTGCTCTATTTTCTGATACAGAACATATGCCATACAGCAGTCGGTATCTGCTTGCCACAGAAAACCATATTTAATAAGCCTCAGTAATATAAGAGGGTTTCGATGCAACTGTGTAGTAATGGTGAGGCCGTGAACCATATTTTAGTTTTTGCAGACCACTGGTGGTCCATGGACTGCAGGTTGGGAACCACTGATCTAAAAACATTGAGAGGAACATGACAGACAGAATAGGACTATAGAATTGTTTGGAGCTACAAGGTTGATTCCAGCAGTGACTGCAGACTTGAAAAAGGTCCAGTGGTCATGGACCCCAGAAAGCAGAGAGATTGCCATGGAAGGCTCTGTGACTAAAAGGAGGAGGAGGAGGTATATGGTGTTAGGTGCTTCTTGATGGGGAGACAAGTGGATTTCAGACCTGAAAGATAGCTTTAGGAGTATGCTGTCTTCTTGATGCAAGTATACAAGACTTGCAACTTGTATACAAGACTTTCGGTGGAGTCTCCTTTGGTGGCTTTTAAACAGAGACTGGATGGTCATCTGTTGGGGGTGCTTTGAATGCAGTTTTCCTGCTTCTTGGCAGGGGGTTGGACTGGATGGCACACAAGGTCTCTTCAACCTCTATGATTCTAAGACGCGATGAAGAAGGAACCAAGACTTAGCAAGCTCATTGATCACAACTACTTCTTGGTCCTTAATATAATGCAAAGCCACACCGTCGCTTCAATTCAGGTGTTAGCAGTTGTTGGAAGAGGTGAGGAAGAATTTTAATCCCTGTATGCACACCCCTCCCCCCCACAGTGGCTGTACCAATGGCTCTGAGTAGAAGAGAAGGAGAAAATGCATACACACATAGATGCTCAAGGCATATGTTTACATAAACTGGCTGCATAAGAGTTGGGTGTGTACTAGTATTTGGGGTCCTACTGCACCCATTCTTGGCATGTCTCCTTCAGGAGTTTTCCCAGGTGGCAGTCTGAACTTTAGTTCAAAAATGCATGTTGCCTGTTCTAGAAATGTAGGAGTTCAGATACAAACAGTAAATGTTTTTAATGTTTATATATTTGTAGATTTCAAATTGTAGTGAAATGCTTTTAATGTAAGCCGCTATGAGTATTCTTATGGAGAGAAAAAGTGGGGTATAAATAAACATCATCATCATCATCATAATTGTCGGCTGGGATCATTTTAATGTACACATATAGTGTACTGTTCATGTATATCTTTTTCTAGTTGTTGTAAAAGGAGTAATTTACAACTTCCTTCATGCAATAAACCTCACCCTCTCAAAACCCATTCATTTCTTGCTATCTCCCTCCTCCTGACATGACTAAGAGTGGGGTGGGAAAGATGAGAATGATACAGTAGGAGTTATACAGGTTGTGTTCAAAGGCAATGCTAAATCAACAGGATCCCCCAGCAGTCGTTATACTTTTGGCTACAAAGACATAACTACAGTACATGCTTCTTAACTGCTCCCTTGTCCCCCATCAGCCACTGTATGGCGATGTTAGAGGGTGAGGCAGCAAGAGGCATGTGGGCTTTTGTCTGTAGTTAGTCTGATCAGGCCTATTTCAAACCATGATTTTTGATTCTGGATACCAGTGATCCAACAAAAGCAAGAATCCTACAAAAATTATGAAATGGTTGTGTTTTTATAAGCCTCCATTTTTTATTATTTCAACTTACAGCGAGCTATCACAGGGGTTTCTCAGCAAGAGTTTTGTCCTGTTAGTCTCTTCAAATGAGACTTGTCCAAGGTTCCCAGTGCACTTTCATGGCTGAAGAGGGATTTGAACCCTGGTCTTCTGGAGTCCAACATTCAAATGACTGGATCATGCTGGCTTACCCAGTCAGGCTAGTTCCTATCATCTATAACCACAGGCTATTATGGGTTGATGGAACTGTGTTCCAACAAAGCTTGCAGGCCCAAGGATAGACTTTCATTAAAACTAAGTCCAAGTTTCATAGAATTCTAGAATCCTAGAGTTGGAAGAGACCTTGTGGGCCATCCAATCTAACTCCCTGCCAAGAAGCAGGAAAATTGCATTCAAAGTACCCCTGACAGTTGGCCACCCAGCCTCTGTTTAAAAGCCTCCAAAGAAGGAGCCCCCACCACACTCCAGGGCAGAGAGTTTCACCACTGAACAGCTCTCACAGGAAGTTCTTCCTCAGGTTCAGGTGGAATCTCCTTTCCTATAGTTTGAAACCATTGTTCCATGTCCTAATCTCCAGGGCAGCAGAAAACAAGCTTGCTCCCTCCTCCCTATGACTTCCCTTTGGGTTGTTGTAAATTTTTCGGGTTGTATGGCCATGTTCTAGAAGCATTTTCTCCTGATGTCAGGAGAGAATGCTTCTAGAACATGGCCATACAACCCAAAAAACCTACAACAACCCAGCGATTTCGGCCATGAAAGCCTTCGACAATACATTGACTTCCCTTTGACTAAAATGACAAATTATAGTTAGTTGAAAACATTGAAAATGTCCTTGCAGCATGCCAAAGGAAGAGAGTTTTACAACCCAAATAAACCACAGTGTAATCTGTGAAACTCTTGAGCAAACATTATGTTTGCTAAACACTGCAAGGTTGCAGGTATGTAAACTGAATATAACTGTAACTGAGTAAACGTACCAATTAAAAATATATATATCAATGATCAGCATAGTGCTAAATTAAATAGTTGGTCATTTCTGACCCAAGTCTTATTTGTTTCAGTTCGCTCTGGAATATGTCCCAGCGACCTATGACATGCACTATTCTAATAAAAATAGTCTTTGTATTAGAAATAAATCAGGCTATATGTACACAAACGGGATATGCTTTTAATGTTTTGAATAGAACTATTAATACATCTTAGCTATCAAGGGGATAACTAAATGCCAAACTATAGATACACTCTGTTCCCAGTGGAAAATTCATAGCTCGACTCTGCAGGTCTTTGTGCGTAAATGACAAATACGATACTGCTTGAAATAATATGTAATAAAACCATCTCCAGTGGAGATGAATGATAATTGCACATTTGTCTCTGCATACATTTCTCTGAAGACTTGGGATCAGATCCCATGTATTTGATTTCTGGCCAAGGTTGGAGCATTAATCAGTAATCTGAAAGTGTTTTTTCCAGTTATTTCAGGGAGCCCCCGCATGCACCTGCATTGTGCTTATGCTCAAGCACCTGAGCTTCCTGCCCTCTCCGTGGGAACTGTTTTGCTCCAAAAGGCAGCAGTTTCCATTACACCCCTGGGATGCTGCTGTTGAGGAAAGGAATAATAATAACGGCGGGTACACGGGTCTTGCTGCATGCTTCTTTAGAACAGAGCCAATGTAGACGTGTGACCCACTGCATATACTTTTGTAGTACCTCAAGTAGTAGGAAGAATGAAAATACGTGCTGATCATAGCTCATGCTGCTGTACACGATTTATTCCACATGGGCATAACCATGAGAAATCTAGAAGAATAACAGATATAGCAGTATTATTGATTTAACTTCTATGTTGCCTTTTGTTTCCCAAAGGAACCTCCCCCCAGCAGTTCACAGAAACGTAACTACACCTAAAACAATCAACCCAATAGTAAAATGGACACTACAAAACTGCTGCTGTTCCTTACACACCTAGCACTGAGAGCTTTACACTCGATTGCTTGGGTTTGCTACAGCCAAAGCAGATTTGAAGAAGTCAACCTGAGCCTCCTTTTTCAAAGCGGTTCTCTTTCAGGTCTGTGGCATAAGCTGCAAGGCTAGTCAGTCCATCACTGTTTAGAGATCAGCATTCGCTGCAACACAAATGAGTTCATTATAATAAAATTGACAATAATAGATTATGTTGAGTTTTACAGTCCTACTCTGGATTTTTTTTTCCATGCCAGGAGTGACTTCAGAAACTGCAAGTTGCTTCTGGTGTGAGAGAATTGGCCCTCTGCAAGGATGTTGCCCAGGGTACGCCTGGATGTTTGATGTTTTACCATCCTTGTGGGAGGCTTCTCTCATGTCACTATATGGGGGGCTGGAGCTGACAGAGAGAGCTCAACTCGCTCTCCCCGGATTTAATCCGCCGACCTGTCAGTCAGCAGTCCTGCCAGAACAAGGATTTAATCCACTGTGTTACTGGGGGCACAATGGATTAAAACTCTGTCATTCATCTTCCTTAATTTTAGCAGCTGAACATAAAGTCCATATGATGAGCCTGTACCCTGATGCAATCTACACACAGATATGAAGCTAGGATAAGTTGAAGACTTATCCTGGCTTCATATGAACAGTGATGAAGGGACAGCTTACAAAAAGGAGAAATGCAAATCAAAGGCCAAACACTGATGATTTGGGACATTTTTCTTCTTCTCTGGCAATAGCAAAGCTGTACAAATGTATTTTAAAAAATTATTGTGCCCAAGATAAAGGACTGATTTACACTGTACACTCCTTCATTTTATATAAACATATATCAACATTTACATTTTTGTGCACTCTGCATTTATAACTCATCATATTTACGTACATACAGTATTATGTCTCAGTTTCAAATTAAGGTGCAATTTATCAAAACATCTGCTTTATGCATTTTCCCTTTAGTTCTTTGGCACATATCCTGGCTTATATATTGAATAGAAAAAGTGTAACACTGACTTTGTCTAATCCTACATAATTTTTATGGTTTTAATAGTAATTAAGTGCTTTTTTCCAGTTTAGCACAAGCTTATTTACAGAAAAAGGTGTTTTCTGAAGTTCAGTTTGTGTTATAAGTGAGATGGCAAACAAGAATTTTGGAAGGTAAAAGAAAAGTATATTTTTGGTTGAGGAATATTTAAACAGTATGCAAGTATCAGATGAAATGCTGAACATTATGGAATGTTTTGACAAAGAAACCAAACTCACATCACCAATTTGAGAATTATGTCATCATTATACTATGAACATGTACAATACAGGGATAGATATATTGGAACTGGTGGATAATCAGAGGTCCCTTTGACTAAAAAGTTTATTTCTTTGTCTGAGGATTCATATTTTTGCCACCACAAAGTGGTAGGAAAAGCCTATTGTGTGAATGGATGTATGCTTTGCAAACACTGGGTTTCATCCTCTATTTTATTTTTTCCTAGAGTTAATAAATACTAGCAGATTTCAAGATGTTCCAGATGAAGAGTGATAGATAAATGAAGAAAGCAAAGCTTTCATGATTTCCAGCTGCAGCAAAATTGTTCAGTCACAGTATCTGACATACTGCTGTTTCCTTGATATAATTTATCATAGGAAAAATCGTAATAATGAAGCTTTTTATAACTTCCATTTTTCATAATCATTTGCTTTAAAAGCACATACACTCTCTTTGAAAAATTAACACTTATTGCAGGGCATTTCTCATCTTCTTATTTGCCAATGAGCTACACTAATTAATCTTCTGGCACATAGTACATTTATGGGGAAATGTCCTAGATGAAGTAAAATAAAAAAAGTGGCAGCATTAAAAAATCCATGGATGGAAAACAGAGTTATGCTTCTGAAAACAGCATATCCTTCCATTCATTGTCCCAATGGATGAGCATGCTCATTGCAAGCAGACACCTTGAATCCTCTGGAATATGATACAACTTTTAAGAAATACATATTTTTACAGTGTATCTTTTTCATAAGTCTGCCCACAATTGCCAAATGCTTGAAAAACTCAAGAACTGAGGGAAAATCTAGGATCCTCATATTCAAAGGAGCTCACTTAGCCTCTTAGCCTGCTAAATAATTTCATATATGACGATGTCCTTCAGAGTTGGTTGATGTCAGAAGAGGCTGGGTAATCTCAGTTTATTATGGTGTGTGGTTTCACCAATGGTGGGTCCCCAAATGCTGTGTTCTCTGTGTGCTTATTTATGTTCTCTATGCCCAGGGTGTGCCTATATTTCTGCTTTATAGAAATCTCCACAGCTTTGAACATGTTGAATACGATTGAGGAGAAAGGGCATCCATGTTCCCAGTTGTGGAGACATATAAAACACTGGTAGCTTGCGCAACAGGAGCAAAATGGCTGTGTTCTTTGGGTTGTTGCAGCTGAAGAGATGGGTGGGGAGGGCTGAGAGACAGAGAAATGCATGTCTTCCCTTTGTGTGCCAGCTTGAATACAAGGCAGAAGAGAAAGCACAGCATATGGGGCCAGAAGTGCGAGGGACCCAGAACATGGTTGAAAGTGGGGCTTCCCATGTCCTTTGATCAAATGTAGGCCCCGCGTCCATCAGTCAGCTTCAGAACTGTGATGTTTGGGTGAATGAGATAGTGTCAGATTTATCTATGGCAAAAGCTCCATTCACATAGGATTTCTTGGTCTCTGTTTCCTCACTGTCAGGCGTGTTGGTTTCCAAGGCAAAGGGGTTCGCTATGTTGACTTCCGAGGTGACGTCCATCTGCTCCAGTTCTTCTCTGGAGAGCTTCTCCACAATTCCCGTCCCAAAGGCGTCGCCAAGAACATTCACCATGGTTCTGAATCGATCCCTACAGAGTAAACAGTTTGGGTTGGTCAGGGAAGTTGGTCTGGATTCAAATTCAGAAATTCTATTTCAAATTTATCCACACCAGAAAGAAAAGCATAGTTGAAAGACACCAAATCCCTGTTAGTGATTTATGAAGATGTTCATCAGAGCAACAGTACTGTTCAGGCATTTCTGATGCACACGGGGTGTTCCTTTCCTGCTTCTACACTTCCTATATGGTGTCTGGATATATAGAGTGCCTTAATGCATATAGGTGTTCCCTGTGGTCCAGGCCATGGAGCATCAGTCATATCACTGGCCACCACTGTGCCTTTAATGCCTATGCACTGCAATGCCACAGCAGCTCCAGGTGAATATGAAAGTTTTGAAGATACTCAGTTCAATTTTGCACACATATAAGGCTATTGGCAAAGACAGATGTTCCAAGCGAAATGCCAGATACCATTTTTTTCACATGCAAAGCAAGTTGTATAAACCTTGCCCAGTCCAAGTGGTTGCAAATTAGCTACTTTCTGCAAGTTGAAAGATTACACTGGCCAACACACATTTTGGTGCCTCAAATGTTAGACCTGTTTCTGGGTATATCTGAACTGCTGATTCCAAAGATGGCACTAGATCAGCTGTAGTTTTTGAGATATAGAGCATAAGCCATATACCTGTCACCATCTGCTCACCCATAGAAAACCATGATAACCATATCTAATAAACTAGAGCTGATGCATTCTATCCAATGCCCCAAATAACCCCAGGAACAGGCCTAAAAATCAAGACATCATTTTTTTTAATTGGGCTGTGTTATACTTTTGAGTTGCAAGTGAAAAACCTGTAAGCAACATGACACCATGGAGAGATGAATCTGCCAAGTGATATATGGTGCCGTTTCCGGTGTATGTCAATGCAATGCTTTTGCTTCTTGCAGAAGGAACTCTACCTTGTAAATACAACTGTAGGAGGTGAGATTGCAACTACACATCTACATTTCATAGGGGGATTTGTCAAAGGCAGTTTAACAGTGAATTAATTTATTATCACATGGGGATGTTCAGCTTGATCTATGTAAATTTCCTATTTGGAACTGTGGAGCAAAAACCTTAGTGTGCCACTTGTTAATATAGACAACTGAGTGCCAAGGAAATGTTAACATAGCCATGAAATATCTAAACTTGTGCCTTCAAGATGAAATATGTTCAGAAGCATACTGATAAGAAATAGTTTTTTTTTTCATTCAGTAAAGCCTTCCATGTGCTAGGTGAACATATGCTCAATGTAATCAGTATCATTCTCAAACTAACTATAGGATCTTCACTGTTGAGAATAGCTGTGGGTAGAGGTTGTATAAATTTTAATATGGTGTGATTCCCCATATCCTCAGAGATAGATGTTTCTGGACTTATTGTGATTAACAAAAATAACAGTCAATTTCAAATCCTATTGAATGAATTACTGTCAGCAGAAGCATAGCATTAAGTCACATTAGAGGACCTAGGAAATGCCTATAGAGAACGCATCTCTACATTTCTAGGACCTCCATTGTGACTCAATGGTTGACATCTAGTAGAAGCATAGCACCTCTCTAAACATCACTACGTCTTCCAACATGACTCTATGGCCAGCAATTAATAGAAGCATACCACAAAGTCATATTAGAGGAGCTAGGAAAATACCCCTAAAAATCCAGCAAAATACCCAGTTGCAACACTGCATCCCTTCTCCTCCAATATTTGGCAGAGATCAAAAGTTGTAGAAGCAGACCTCTGGCTACAATTTGCTTACCCTTGTGTTACCATTTTTGAGAGAAATAGCCTATCAAGATAACAACAACAACAACAACAGCAACAACAATCTTAATTTATACCCTGCCCTGTCTCCCCGGAGATACTCAGGGCGGTTAATAGGTTCATGGCAAATACTGGCATACTGCAAAATCAAGAGATAGGTTCAGAGTGAGAAACTTACAGGAGCCAATCCACGGCTATGATGAGGGTAACATCTTCAGCAGGAAGCCCAACCGCACTCAGGACAATCACCATGGTCACTAGTCCCGCCTGGGGCACTCCCGCGGCTCCAACGCTGGCCGCAGTCGCTGTTACACTGCATCCAACAACAACAACAAAAGAGCATTAGAAATGTTTCTGCTTTGGTCAGAGTGATGCTGTCAAGGAAATACTTCTGAAAGTTATATGTTCTTTATTCTGCAGAGAATGCCACCTGCTAAATGTTTGCAAAATTATCACATTTGGGGATGGTGTAAATTTCTCAGATACATGCCACCTTGATGCCTTATTCATCTATGCATTTTCTAGAATCATTTTTAGGGCAGACATGAAGGCAAAACAGAGAAAGCTAAAGAACTCCCAAGAGTCCATAGCATTGAGCTACAGCAATTAAAATGGTGCCAAACTGCATTGATTCTACAGTGTAGATGCAAGCATAGATGACTGTTTACATTGCTGAAGGCTGCTTGCTAAACAAGCCTGTTAAGATACAGGAAGGAAGTTAAGGTGAGGCTCTTGCCTGGTTTAAAACCGCAGAGATTGCTATGAAAGCAACCATTTCTACTTTACTGCAGCACTGTAATGTAAACAGCCCTTATACCACTGACTACCTTGTCTCCCCCTCTTTTATCTCCTTCTGAGGAACAGTCTGGAATGTTGACCAGTTTGCAATGTAAACATCTTGGATCTTGGCTATCAAAGGTGGCATGGCGCCCAAATATGGATACCGCTGCTGCTTGTACAGTTAATCAGGTGACAGCAGCAATTATTCAATGACACTTTCACCTGCAATGCATCGAAGGAACTGGAGCCAATGGATTGAACGCAAGGATATCAAAACCCAAAGGATTTGTATGCAACAGATACTTCATTCCTTATCTGCCTACATTGCTGATTTACCTCTTGAGGGGGAGTGCAATGATTGATATTCCCTGAATGCAATTCTATTTTTAGCAAGACTGAAGGTTTTCCAGCTGGCTCACCTTTGCGTGTATTAAGCATTATGAATGACAAAGCAGCTAATTGCTTAAAAAAACCCCCAAACAACATGTAAATGAAAAGTTTGGCAAAGCGCAAGTCTTACCTGACGGTCACAATCTGGCCAATATCTAGTACTAAGTCATTAAGCTGTGCAATGAAAACAGCGGCTACTGCTTCATATAGTGCAGTACCGTCCATGTTGATTGTAGCTCCAACTGGTAAAACAAATCGGGTAATTCTCTTGTCAACACGGTTGTTTTCTTCTGCACAGCGGAAGGTGACAGGTAAAGTAGCTGAACTGGATCACATACATTGAGGGAAAAATAAATAAAAGACTTTGAGAAACACACTAAATAAACATACTCACCAAATACCTGTTAATTTTACTACTTGTGTAAACTAAGTCTGTGATGGAACTACATTCCACGGGAATCAAGATGGAAAGCTTATCTATAAAAATGGCAGAATATAGAAAACTATGAATCAATATTGCTTCCTTTAGTATCCATTTATCTTTTAATTTAAAGAAATTAACAAAAAAGAAGGAATTAGATTTGTGTGCACGTCTCTGTGCCTTCAAGACACCTGTCGGTTTATGGTAGCCCATGAATTTCATGTGGTTTTCCTAGGTAAGAAATGCTCAGGGGTGGCTTTCTTAGTTCCTTCCTCTGAAATATAGCCTGCAGCATCTGGTATGCACTGAAGGTCTCCCATCCAAATGCTAATTAGAGCTGTCCAGGCTTAGCTTTCAAGATCAGAAAGGATCTGGTGCTTCAATTGGATTAGCCTTACCTTGAGGAAATCATGAGTGCTGTCAAAAGTGCCTGAGCCATTCCCATGGCAAACTTATACGGATTCTTCCGGACTATGATTAAGTATATTAGTGGGAGAACTATAACAGAATGGATTGCAAGCCTACAGGAAAGAAAATCAGATATTACCTAACAATCAATAGAACAACAGTGAGAGAAGTAGTTCAGATAAACTATTCTAGAATTAGTCAAGCCTTCATCTTTGACTTCCAGTGCTATATCCTATTACAGATCACAATCATGATGATATAGTATTTCTGCAGAGAGTTCAAATCTCATGTTAGCCATTCCACTCACTAGAGTGGCCTTAGGTCTTAATTATGTATTTAAAAAGGCAAATAATTCAAGCTAAATCCTTGTACTTCTTTGTGGGAGGGCATGAAGGAATGAAGTTAGTATTTCCCATGTTAACTCTTTCCCTCAAGCAACCTTGCTTGAAAAAAGAAGGGTGAAATAACAACAACAGCAGCAACAACAGCAACAACCTGCCTCTCCTCATATCCATATATACACAGTTTGTCTGTATCCAAATTATGTGTATATATGGATATTATTTCATGATTCCTTCCTAAATTACTGTACCAGGGAAATTTTTTAAAACTGTGTCAGAAGCAAATTGAGAATATACTGCAAGTCACTTCTGGTGTGAGAGAATCAGCTGTCTATAAAAATGTTGCCCAGGGGACGCCCAGATGTGTTACCATCCTGCAGGAGGCTTCTCTCATGTCCACGAATGGAAAGCTGGGACTGACAGACGGGAGCTCACTCTGTCTCATGGATTTGAACCGCCAACCTTCAGGTCTTCAGGTCAGCAGTTCAGATGGCACAAGGGTTTAGCCCATTGTGGCATCGTGCCTCCATAACAGGGAGATGATGGTTGATTATATGAGGCTTTTCTAAGGGTTACAGACAATGGTCATAAGACTATACTATACATATAATCAGTGGTAAACTTGAGACTTGAACACTTTTTCTTTTCCAGACACCGCCATGTTGAGGCAACACATTGTGTGCACATTTGGGTTTTGCAGATTATGATAAGATCTTTGAAAAAATAAGCTCTTGGTAAAGGTTCGAAAGAACTCTTCTAGAGGTCTGGTGATTTTTTTGAATGGGGAGTAACCAAGGATTCTCTTCATTCTTTACAAGATATTGGCAAGATCTTGCATGGAACACAGCTATGATGTTGTAGTAGCTGCACTCTGTCTTCTGATGAGACTCCTTAAGATCGACTTTAAAAGCTAGGCAGCTGTACCAAGTAAAGAGAGCTTGCAAGCAGGGCAGTGAAGGATGTGTAGGATGGCACATTCAGCCCCACACATCAGAGATCCATGGTGTGATGAGTTGAAGTAAGACATCAGAGCGACCCCATTTCTGCTCATCACACTGCAGCTTCCTGGCAATGGTGCCATGATCTTAAATATGAATATGTAATGGATAAGGTTGTAGCTTTATCTTATTACTGTCTAACATGATGTGAGTCATTATCTATATCTCATTATTAGCTTAAAAAGTAAAATGAATGGAATGCTGAACATGGAGTCTCTTTTCCTCTACATTTCTTGAGAAAATATGATAGAAATTTTAAAAGTAGATGACTATTTTGGTTGTCTCTGATGCATAACGTCTGTAAAATTAGAATTCCTTCTGCACTCAGATATAGAAAAATTGATTTACTGTACACATCACTTAAAATTAATAGAAAACAATCTTTTAAATTATTGTTTAATGGATGACATACCCACTTAGCACAGTAGCCATATAAAGACCCAATTTGCGAAAGATTTCCCAGTCTTCAACTTCTATTATCTTTCCAGCAATCAAAAATAAAATACCCACCGGCATATACCTGCAATGCACAAAACGTGAGGATTATTCCATGGCAATTTGCACTTAAATATTATTAATCAAAGACAAATCATGTTGACATATATTCGTATCCCCATTTCACATTTGAGGGAGAGTCTGAATACTCATTGAATAAACAGACCATATTCCCAAGATACTGATTTTGGGATTCCATACTTATTGTTATTTAATAGGCTTAACTACAGTAATATTTTAACAATAAATTTGCATAAGGTTCTTTGACAATATCTCAAAGTTTAGAAAGGAATTGCCTGAACTTATTTCTTCACACAATAATTGAATTATTTAAAAGCTGTATACTGTGGAAGGCTTTCACATCTGGAATAACTGGGGTGTTGTGTAGTTCCCAAACTGTCCGGGCATCCTCTGAAGATGCCAGTCACAGATACAGGTGAAACATCAGGAGAAAACACTGCTAGAACATGGCTATACACCCTGGAAATCACACAATACACCTATTTAAAAGCTACCTTATTTTATACTAAGATGTAAAAATGATTGAAACCTTTCTGTAATCTCAATGACTAAAAAAACATCAAAACATACCAAACTTTATTTCTAATATAGTCAGAATCATGTCATGGTTTTATGTAAATACCATAGTTACGGTGCTATATAGTGAATCCCATCCTGATCACTCCCACACTCCCTTACTCTGAAGCAGTTGTTGCAGTTGACAGGGGTCTGTCCCCCTGTCACTTAGAAAGTTCCTGACTGATGTTTCCATCTACTCATGTGAGTGATTTCTAGTAAGACAAACAGAAGCAGGAACCCATTACAGTTTATCCTTGTGTCAGAGACAGCTCACACAAGAAAAGATGAGAATATTAGTTGATTGCTTACTAAAGGACAGAGGAACAGAGCCTCTCTGACTTTAGTGGCTACTTCTTGGTAAGTGTAAAATGCAGGACTTTCACTGTTGTGACTCAGCGTCTGTCTCATGTACCTACTAGTAGTAGTAGAAGGAAACGGGGTTTGGAARAGGAAGACGCTCAGCAACAGCTGAAGCGTATTAGAGACTTGTTCCTRGAGCCTACGGATGAGGAGGATTTTGAGGGGTTTACTCGYRAGGAAATKGAGGTGGAGGATTACYGYRGTGTAAAKCGAGTMGCAMGCAGCWYGGATAGTGATGWGGRATCTGTKKCYAAAYGCCTTAAAGATGTAGCTGATTGTGAGGASTTTGACAGCKAAGAGGAAGAGCTGGAYTGGACYAAGGTCCAGGAAGTGTTAGAYGTGGTTAATGCTCCCACTTCTAGTGATGAGTTCCAGGGTTTTACTGACACTTGGGTTTCAGATACTACTTTGCAGGATGCAGTCCGAAGTACAGAATGACCACTCTACGCTCCTGCTTATCCCTTGGTGACTTCGTTGGACCACTCCTTATGCGGATTGCTGTTTGCTGTTTTGTTTGGATTTGGAATGGACTGAGTTTCTGCCGCTGACTTCAAGCCGTACTGCCTGTGTTAATGCTGCTTTCCTTTTCCCAGCGAGGACTGACTGGGACTTGGTTTGTTTACATTCTTGCTGGCTGCGAGCCCTTTTGTGTTTACCGCTATGCTTTTAAGAGCCCTTTTTCTTATGTTAATTGACATTAAAGACCTTTGTTTAACTCCTTAACTGCTGTCTTGCCTTGCTGGTCCGCCTGGGTCTTGACATTCACAGTCACTATGTAACTCTGAAACTAGGAACCACACACAGATCATCAGTATGAAACAGCCACAAGTGTGTAACTCTACATTACTCATTTGTTACTACCCAACTAGTTTCTAGCCAACCTTTAATATTTATTAAATAAATAAAAATAAACAAATCAATATAAACAATGTAAGAGAGCCAATTAAGAAGATATTATTGTACTTACCACATTATAATCTGAACTATGTACATTGTGGCATCGTTTAGTGCATTGAAAAAGTCCACCAGCACTTGTCCCTTTTCTCCCATTTTCCCGATAACAATTCCAAAGACAAGGCAAAATACTATCAAGCCGAGCACATTAATACCATCGGAATACATGCCCACTATTCGATACTCTTGGGTTTTGTTCTGCAGATTGAGAGTGGAAGGGAAAAGATCCCCAGTTAACAGAGGTGCATTATGTTGACATCAAACGTAAGCATATTTATTCTTCTTTAGGAAATTATAGCAGATTAAATCTGTTTGCAGTTTGCTTGCTGTTTAATTTGTTATGTTACTGTCTGGGTGAATGCAAACTCCATTTGGTGAGAATAGAGCATAAATGCTCTAAAGAGGATTTGATGGGTCTCTGTAGATCACTTTGGCTTCCTTTCACAAACTATGATATCTACAATTATAGGTATTGTTTCACCAGACCTATTTATATAATTTCAGCAACAAAACAATGTCATTTCCTACGATACACAGCAGTATCCATACCTGTGAAGTCTCTGTTGGCACTACGGATGGGAATGGGTCTGGTGTGGGGAGAGTGCCATTTTTGCCACCCCCATCTGTGGCAGGTAGTTCTACACGTTTGGTCTTATACTGAAAGTTAAGCAGACATTGTGATGAAACAAGAGACTGAAAAACACCTACGTTAAATCTAACTTTAGGATTTAAGACATTTAATAAGGGCTTGTAAACAGGTGCAGACTGCAAAAGGTTATAAAATAGTAACAAAAACTGCCAATCCCATATTTAATACAGTATAAACTATTACAAGTGATAGAAAATGACCATAAACTGTTATGTAACCACAAATGCATTTTTTCAATACTGAAATGATTTTTCTTCTAGATGCATTTGGCTATCCTACACCTGTTCTGTCTGGACAATCTGCCACCTGATAGCAGACTGGAAATTAGTTTTTGTGGGAAAATCACTGCCAGGAAACTTGGAATTATAATCAAGTCAAAGAAGAACAGGCATTAGAAACTTCTGAATAAAATATTGGAATTAGAGCTAATCCATGTTCTGATTTGAATACTAGCTGGAGAACTTCAACTCCTCTTGTTTCACATTCTGCTTTGCAATGAATTTAGGATTTTTCCTCTTTGGAAGATTCAGAAAAGTAATTTATTATGTTTTTATACACAGAGATTAAACAAGGAGAGGAAACTATAAAGTAATCTGAACTTCATGCACTCACTTGTATGGGCCTGAACTAAAACCAAGCCAAACCAAACCAAACCTAGATTCCCTTTGCACAGGTTGAAAACACGGTGCACAGATTGAGGTGGGCAACATGTAGCCCCCCAGATGTTACTAAATGGCAACTCTGACCAAACCCTTGTCAAAATAGTCAAGAAAGAGAGATTCTCCAACTGGCAGTCCAAAAATATCTTAAGGAAGAGCGGCATAATCCTGCTAAGAAAGCAATCAGCTCTTAGTCATTCAGGATGACTAACTATTCTTAAGTAAATCTGTAAAACACTGGATATGTAGGCAGTTTGGAGAAAAGCAATAATCTGACAAAAATTGTGACATTTCTTCTGAAAAATTAAGATACAATTCAAGCAGGACATTCCAAGGAACTGATCACATTATCTATTCATCAGTGTTCAAACTCTTCTCTGTTTCTACACAGCAAATATACAAAACAAAAAAACAAAACAAAAACTCTGCTGGTGAAAATATTTATTTATATTTATTTCGTACATTTATGTCCCGTCCTTCTCACCCCCGGAGGGGGACTAAGGGTGGCCTTACAACTGGCAACCATTAGATGCCCAAACAAAGATAATTATAATAACAATTCACATTTTAAAAATAGTTAACAAAGATAATTAAATAGTTTTAAAATAGTTAAAATATCAAATATGAAACATCCAATTAAAATAACGCAAGTTTAATCCGTAATCCAGGTCCATCACTTGTCAGTCCAATAAACCATTCTCATTATTATCGCTGCATCTGCTGCATGAATGCTTGGTCCCACAACCATGTTTTAATTTTTTTCCTAAAGGATAGGAGGGAGGGGGCCAATCTGATTTCATTAGGGAGAGTGTTCCACGGCCAGGGGGCCACCACCGAAAAGGCCCTGTGTCTCGTTCCCACCAGCCATGCTTGCGAGGGTGGTGGGATCGAGAGTAGGGCCTCTCCCGATGATCTTTTTCTTTTATTAATAATCTTTATTCTCATTTTCAATAATATAACAACAATTAACACATGTACCATAGCAAAAGGACATTTTACAAAAGACAATTATATACAAGGACATTGTGGGATAGGAGGTTGGGAGGGGTAGGGGTGGGGAACATGGGGAAAGGGAACATGGGGAGGGGGGGTATAGTTAAAAAGAGATATTTGACTTCCTAAATAGTCTACAGGATCATGCATAGTCTTTAAATTCCTAGTCCTTTTCTCGTCTAAGTTAATTCCACTGCCTTGCTCACCGACGAATTAACGCGGTGTTCTTTTTTTCCTTTAGGTAGGTCTTTACTGGTTTCCAATCTATTTTTCTTTTTGGACTTGTATCGTATAACAAGTTTGCTAGCGCATCCATTTCCATTAGGTCACTAATTTTTAGGAGCCATTCTTCGATGGTTGGGAGGATTGCGTTTTTCCACTTACGTGCTAGGACGGTTCGTGCAGCAGCCGCCGCATGGTATAGTATCTTTTCTTTATTGGAGTCAATATTAAAATCCAATAGATGGAGAAGATAATAGTCAGGTTTTAGTTCGAACTTTGTCTGAATTATTTGCTGGGTCTGTCTATGAACCTCGGACCAGAATCTTTTGACTTCTTTACACTGCCACCAGCTGTGGAAAAAGGATCCTAGTTGCTTGCCGCATTTCCAGCACTTACTGCTTGCCCCCTTGTAATATTTTGCTATTTTTTGGGGCGTCAGATGCCATCGAAAAAACATCTTGCGCCAGTTCTCTGTTATTGTGGCTGATTTGGAAAATCTGATTTTCTCCTTCCAGATGTGTTCCCATTCTTGGAGTAGGATGGTGTGTCCTAGGTCTGTTGCCCATGCGATCATGTTTTCCTTGACCAGCTCCTTTTCAGTGTCCCATTCGAGCAGCTTGCTGTAGAGTACTTTGATCAGTTTCTTTTCTTTGGCCGTTATTAGGTCCCAAAAGTTGTCGGGCGGAGCGAAGTCTTTTTTCTTGTCTTCTTTGAATGCCTCCGTAATTTGGAAGTAGTGAAACCAGGATAGGTTTTCGTCAATTTTTCTTAAAGATTCTAATGATTTTAATTCCCACTGATTGTCCGTCTTTGTTATTAGCGTTTTATATGTATGCCATTTGTTGCTAGGGAGTTCCCTTTTGTGGTATGCTTCAATGGGGGATAGCCACAAAGGTGTTTTTTGGTAAAGGTAGGGTTTGTATTTATCCCACACCTTGAGAAGAGCCGCTCTTATAATGTGGTTGGAGAAATTCTTTTCAATTTTGGCCTTGCCATGCCATAAATAGGCGTGCCAACCTCTTCTGATATTGAAACCTTCTAAATTTAATAGTCTTTTCTTCGTTAGTGTGGCCCATTCCTTTACCCAAGTTAATACGCAGGCCTGATAGTATATTTGTAGGTTTGGCAGGCTCCATCCCCCTCTTTCCTTCGCATCGACCAGTGATTTGTATTTGATCCTCGCTTTCTTGCCGCTCCATACAAGTCTCATGATATCTTTCTTCCATTGCATGAAGCAGTGGTTGGTCCTGAGGATGGGGATCATTTTGAATAGAAAAGTCATTCTGGGGAGAATATTCATCTTTACAACCACAGAAATAGAAAAGCAGGACATCAAACTTCCACTGACAAACTCACCGGCCTCTCCCGATGATCTTAATCTCTAAGGTAGGTCACTGAGGGAGTAATTCAGACAAGTAATGTATCGGAACCATTTAGGACTTTATAGGCCAAAGCCAGCACTTTGAATTGTGCTTGGTAGTGAATTGGCAGCCAGTGGAGCTGACATAACGGGGGATTGTATGTACCTCCGGTGAGCAATCTTGCTGCTGCCCATTGGACTAGTTAAAGCTTCTGGACAGTCCTCAAAGGCAGCCCCACGTAGAGCACATTGCAGTAATCTAATTGGGATGTGACAAGGGCGTGGACCACCGTGGCCAAGTCAGACTTCCCAAGGCATGGCTGCTTTTGATGTTGTCATGGACAAGAAAGTTATTTCTATAGCACTTTTCCAAAAACAGTATCTAATATTTACAGTCTAAGTGATACAGAATCGCTTTTAGAGATACTGGAAAAAAGGACAAAGTACTTATTCAAAATGGCCATAATTGAACTCACCTGTTGAAAACAGGCCTGCACAATGTTTTCTGGGAACATATTCCTGCAAAGGGATGTAGAGATAGCCCACTGTTATAATGCAAAGCATGTTCAAGAAAGCAACTGGCATGCATAAAAATAACCTTTCTCCTAAAAATATATATCCTATCTTGAATGAGACAGCATTGTCAATGGTCTAAGGCAGACATGGGCAAACTTCGACCCTCCAGGTGATTGGGAATCCGGCTTCCACAATTCCTAACAACCTACACCTGGTCTAAGGGTTGGGCTAAGACTTTGGGATCCCAAGGTCCACATTTCAGCTCAACCATAGATACCCATTCCGCAACCTTGGGCAAATAATGTTCCCTTAATCTGCCAAGACAACCCTGTTTCTGAAAGATCTGCTAGCATTTCTTTAAAACAGCAACACTGGAATTTATTGTACCATTTTTCACACTCACACACAACCCCTTGGAAATCTATATAAATAAAAATGTAATGTTAGTTTGTGCTACCATCAGAACTCAAAAACCACTGGGGAATTGACACCAAATTTGGACACAAGACACCTAACAGTCCAATTTATGTCCTCCACTCAAAAAAAAATTGATTTTGTCATTTGGGAATTGTTGTTGCTGGGATTTATAGCTTACCTACAATCAAAGAGCATTCTGAACTCCACCAATGATGGAATTGGGCCAAACTTAGCACACAGGGCTCCCATGACCAACAGAAAAAACTGGAAGGGTTTGGTGGACATTGACCTTGAGTTCGGGAATTATAGTTCACCCACATCCAGAGAGCACTGTGGACTCAAACAATGATGGATCTGGACAAAACTTGGCACAAATATTCCATATGCCCAAATATGAACACAGATGGAGTTTAAGGGAAATAGACCTTGACATTTGGGAGTTGTAGTTGCTGGGATTTATAGTTCACCTACAATGAAAGAGCATTCTGAACACTAATGATGGAATTCAACCAAACATGGCATACAGGACTTCCATGCCGGCCACATGACCTTGGAGGTGTCTGCGGACAACGCTGGCTCTTCGGCTTAGAAATGGAGATGAGCACCACACCCCAGAGTCAGACATGACTGGACTTAATGTCAGGGGATTACCCTACCTTACAATCAAAGAGCATTCTGAACTCCACCAATGATGGAATTCAACCAAACATGGCATACAGGACTTCCATGACCAACAGAACACACTGGGAGGGTTTGGTGGGCATTGACCTTGAGTTTGGGAGTTGTAGTTCACCTACATCCAGAGAGCACTGCGGACTCAAACAATGATGGATCTGGACCAAACTTGACACAAAAATTCCATATGCCTAAATATGAACACAGATGGAGTTTGGAGGAAATAGACCTTGACATTTGGGATTTGTAGTTACTGGGATTTATAGTTCACTACAATTAAAGAGCATTCTGAAACTCACACATGACAGAAATGGGGCAAACTTCCCATGACCAACAGAAAATACTTAAGGCCATCCAGTCCAACTCTCTTCACCAGGGCAAGAAAATGTAATCAAAGCCCTCCTGTCAAAGAGCCATCCAGTCATAAATATAGATAGATAGATATGATTCTCTCTCTCACACACAGATATAGTATCATAGATTTGAAAGAGACCCTTCAAGAAGGACTATGATATGTTGCATATTCCAGAGTAGGCAAACCAGACACTCTCCACATCAACACTGACAAAGAAACAACAAGAAATACTGTTTACTCACAAGCATAAAGGAATTACATATATTAGAAACCAACACTTTCTCATTACTTTATTTTCCAGATCACCAGACTGGGCCACAGCAACGCATGACAGGGGACAGCTAGTATTCCAATAAAGGTTAGGAAACCATTCTGAATGGATCTAGGAGTCTTCAACCTGCAGCCATCCAGGTGATGTGGATTTCAGCTCCCAGAATTCCTGACTGCTGAACAAGTTGGCAAGGGCTTCTGGGAGTTGGAGGTCCAAACACCTGGAGGGCCACAGGTTGAAAAGGCCTGGAGGCTGTGGCACAGGGAAGTAAGAGGTAGACAGAAGGATTTGTAAAAATATAGCAGGCAGAAAGGCAATAAATTGTTCCACTGTGAACAGGAACTCAATATGAAGAAATTACCTCTGTCCAATTTAAGACATGCAGCTCTTCCAGTCCAGTGTCAAAATGGTATCATTAACTTTAGCGGTGAATTTGCTAGAATGGGACTGGGGAAATAAGTTCTTAACCATGGATAACACTGATTATTTCAAGTGCTCACCTAACCAAGTCTAGCATGGCATCCACTGTAGACACGTCGGGTGTGCTGCCCATCCTATCGATATCATCAGCTTTCTGGGATACTCCAGGTTTGATTGTCACAACTAGTACAATCCCTGCAAATTGAGAAAAATTCTATTTTGGAGAGTGGAAAGCTTGCATAAAGCATTTAAAAACCAAGAAACAAATATGCCTAGAGCTTAGAAACATTATTCTTTTGGTATACAGTTCCACAAAGGGATATTACTGGAGCTGTATGTCAAAGCAGCAATATTTCCATGCTCTGATATCTTCTTTAGGATCAGGGCTTGGCTTTTCCAAAAACCCATGTAATGATATGAAGTCATCACATAACCGCAGACTACAGTTGACTCTGGACTGAAGAACAATAGAAGAGGCTCATAAGGCATTTTGTGTGCTTGATGAGCAGAAGGAAATAGGCTCTAAAGCTCCCTAGTCATCACCGTCATTATCATCATCAGTAATAACAATAATCCCCACTTTTTCTCAGGACTGAGACCCAAAGCAACTCACAAAAGTAATACACTTAAAACCATATGAAAGGCAAATATTAAAACAGTATAAATCCAAAAATATACAAACATTAAAATAGAATTAAACATCAATGGTATTATTAACAGTTAAAATCCTTTAAACTGACTAAAAGAGTATTCAAAGCTATTAAAACAATTCAGTTAAAAATATAATTTAAATAGGTAAATAAAGCTGTTAAAACAGTTCACCAAAACAATGAGGAACCCCTTTGACCAGGAGCCACGGTGGTGCAATGGGTTAAACTGTTGTGCTGCCTGAACTGCTGACCTGAAGGTCAGCGGTTCGAATCTACAAGACAGGGTGAGCTCCCGTCTGTCAGCTCCAGCTTTTCATGCAGGGACATGAGAGAAGCCTCCCACGGGATGGAAACATATCCAAGCACCCCCTGGGCAGCATCTTTGTAGATGGCCAATCCTCTCACACCAGAAGCGACTTGGAGTCATCTCAAGTCGCTTCTGACACAATTTTAAAAACCTCTACCGTTCTTTAAAAATATTCTATTTAAAAAACCTTTCTGAATGAAATGGTTTTAGCCTGCTGCCAGAAGGACCGCAAGGAAAGAGCCATTCTGGCTGTATGTAGTCTCCACAGAACATATCCCCCCCTTATTTTTGAAATGCTTATTTGTAAATGTGCTCATTGCTGTGGATTGTATACAGAAATTCCAATGAAAGAACATTTCTACATGTTATGATAAGCTCTCCTCCTTAAGGTTAATGGGAAGAGGAGCAGATATTGTTAGTTCTCTACTATACAAGCAATCCTAGATCAATCCTAGGAAATTCTGTAGGCATATGAACTGGCACACTGCAAATGTAATATATGGCAAAAAAATTTTTTAAAAAAATCTGGTCAATTAGGAATGTCTGTGGGTGTAAGTGTTTACAACCACACTTTAACCTAATTTTGTTTTCATACTTTAGGAGTCTAGACTTGGTAAGAAATAGCTATTTATTGTTAATTGCCAAACAAATTAAAAATACCTATAATTTTAGGGTGCAAAACAATTTAATGATAATAAAACATCTTATTACCTAGGATCACAGCAAGCACTGTAGTGACAAAGTAGTACACAACTGCCCGCAAGCCGATCTTTCCAGAAACACCAGAGTCCAAAGCAGCAACACCTGGGAAGATAGGTGAGAAGACAAATGACAGTTTTTAATGAATGAATATCTGGAAATATCTGGCAAACTAGCAGTTCGAAAACATGCAAATGTGAGTAGATCAATAAGTACCGCTCTGGCGGGAAGGTAAAACGCCAGCTACATGACGTTGGAGGTGTCTACGGACAATGCCGGGTCTTAGACTTAGAAATGGAGATGAGCACCAACCTCCAGAGTCAGACACGACTGGACTTAATATCAAAGGAAAACCCTTACCTTTTCCTTACCTATCTGGAAATAAATGCCTGATGACTGAGACAATTGGAAGTCAGTTTCAGTGTTAGATGACGACTCTAGAGACCAGGATTTGAATTTCTGCTCAGACTTGAAATCCACTGGGTGACTTTAAGCAAGTCACACTCTCTCAGCCTGAGAGGAAGGCAAAGCCAGACCTGCTTTGAACTAATCTTGCCAAGAAAACCAGATGATAGAGTCGCCTTACGGTCACCATAAGTTGGAAATGACTTGAAAACACACAGCAATGATTATAATTGTGGTTTTGGATTTAACTACAACCTCTTCTTATGATAGGAATTAATTTGGGTGCATCTACGTTGTAGAATTAATACAGTTTGATCCCACTTCAATTCGCAGGCTGGGGGCTTCTGGGAGCTGTAGTTGGCTGCTAGGAATTGTCGGAGTTGAAGTCCAAAACACCTGGAGGGCCAAAGTTTGCCCGTGCCTGTCCTAGAATATTTGTATATATGTGTGTATTTATGACATTTCAACCCACAAGAGAAAAAAACACAAGTACTTTAAAGAAGTAACACAAAATGTTGCGTCATCTTAAAGAAAGTCCACAAAAGCACATGCCACAACCAATTTGTTATTCTTTTAAATGATCACGAGATTTAATTTTGTTTTCACCGCAAGAGACTGACATAGCCACCTTTCTGGATATGGCTGTTTTTCAAAGCACCTGAGTGACACAGGTAATTTATTTTATGAGATGTCAACTTGTATCTGTACACGATGCAATAAAGCCTATGTTTTAATAAAAAAAATTGTTATGTTATTAGTTTTTGGAGCATGGCTTACTGAAATTAATGACAGCAGGTTTTGCCTCTCAGGGGTATTGATTTAATTAAAATTTAAGCAGCCAGGCAACAAATATTGTGGCAGCTTATTTTCTTTACAACCACAGAGAACATTTAGCCTAAATTATTCACTAATTAAGATGTCAGTTTTTTGGAATAGGATTTCCAGCATGAAATGTTGACATCATGTTCATATTTTTAGTCCTGAAAGGAGGAGTATTGATAGCCAACACAGCATTCATAACTGGCTTAATTCAGCGGCGGACAAATATAAAAGGAGTGCTGGTGTATTCATTTCCTTGTGGAGGAAATCAGATAGAAGGGAAAGCTAATATTTCCCCCTATTTTTTAAAATGGAAACATCCCAGCAAGGGCAGGGAGTTATCCTGCAAGCACTTATGCTTCTTAAAGCTCAGTACTGCAAAAGAACCCACTCTAACAACCACCATGTCAGGCTACACAGAGAAGCCATTGAAATCCACAAACATGTGGACAATTTCAACAGAAAGGAAGAAACCATGGAAATGAAGAAAATATGGCTACCAGTATTTAAAAAAACTCTAAAATTATAACAGTAAATAAAGAACAAAACTCAAACACAGTTGAATTCCAGAGAAAAAACAACCAGGAACAGCTAATCAACTCTCAACAAAGAATTCCTCCAGCCAGTAACAAAGTACACCTAAAAACTGTCAGGCCATCAAATGCTAATCAAGGTGACCAATGGAAACAGTCACACCGACCTCCAACATACAAGAGTTCTTTCCCCCACCCTGAATTTTCTACAGATATACAAACCTAATTTTCCCAGTTTCCAACAGATCTCACAACCTCTGAAGATGCCTGCTATAGATGCAGGTGAAACGTCAGGAGAGAATGCTTCTAGAACATGTTCATACAGCCCAAAAAACCTACAACAACCCAAACTCAAATACCCTAAATCAGAGTTTCTCAACCTGTGGGTCCTGTTGTTTTGGCCTACAACTCCCAGAAATCGCAGTCAGTTTACCAGATGTTAGGATTTCTGGGAGCTGAAGGCCAAAACATCTGAGGACCCACAGGTTGAGAACCACTGCCCTAAATGGACCAGTTCATGTTTTATCTTGAAAGCTAAACAGAGTCTGCCCAGTAGAACTCTCTGCCCTGGAGTGTGGTGGAGGTTCTTTCTTTGGAGGCTTTTAAACAGAGGCTGGATAGCCATCTGTAGGGGGTGCTTTGAATGCGATTCTCTTGTTTCTTGGCAGTGAGTTGGACTGGATGGCCCACGGGGTCTCTTCCAAGTCTAGGATTCTATTACTTAGATGGGAGACCACCCAGGGCTGGCCCTAGGTAATTTTCAAGTGTAAGCAACAGTATTTTACCCCCCCCCCCCAAACCAATCACTGAAAAATAAAACCTGCTGTGTGTGTGTGCAGGAGTGCCTCAAGAGAATCCATTGGGGATTCACGCTATACGCGAATGTGTCTTGCCTATTGCTTCAGCCGCCTCTGAGACAATTGATAGAATTTTTTGTACTATCCACTTTGATTTGTCTTTCCATCCCCATACTATCACCGCTTGTGTGCACTCAATTATTGCTTCCTTTATTTCCCTGTGTGTAATTGCAATTACCAGTTTACCTATATGATCTCATGATATCATGGCAGAATATTAATTAATTAATTAATTAATTAATTAATTTGGAACATCTATTTCCTATCCTTCTCAACCTCTGAAGAGGGAGTCAGGATGGCTACCAACAGGCACTATTCAATCCCAACACAAAATAAAACATAGCATAAAATAAGTTAGTACAAATTAAGACAGTTATAAATATATATTGCATTAAAACCATTTGCCAGTTCAAATAGTCATCCTAAAAACAGTCCATTGTTGTCCATTAAAATTTTGTTTTTCCCAGCAATCAGTCTATTCTGCAAATTCTTGATCCCACATCCAGGACCTGAGTTTCTTCCAGGAGGTCAGGAGGGAGAGGGCGGATCTGATCTCATTAGGGAGGGAGTTCCACAGCCAAGGGGCCACCACGGAGAAGGCCCTGTCTCTCATCCCCACCAAATGCAACTGTGAAGGCAGTAGGATCGAGAGCAGGGTCTCTCCAGACGTTCTTAAGGTCCTTGATGGTTCGTAGAGGGAGATACGTTTGGATATATTCTGCCAATGTCCCACATGTTCTATTTTCTCTCTCCCCGCCCCCAAACTATAATCAGTGTGTGATTCCCCAATTCCTTTCATGTAATGAAGAGACCTAGAATTGATTATCCAAGGGATTATCCAAGGGATCTGGAGAAAGTCCCGCCATCTCTCATCCCCGCCAAGCTGCAACAACCACATGCAGCCAGGATACCAATGATGTGTTGTTTCATCTTGCAATACTTGTAAAGTTGCAGTCATAGTTCATTACAAAGTTGAAGCCTTAGCATGAATATGTTCCTTGAATGTGGCAGAGTCTCCTCCTCTAGAGCAGTGGTTCTCAACCTGTGGGTCCCCAGATATTTTGGTCTTCAACTCCCAGAAATCCTAACAGCTGGTAAACTGGCTGGGATTTCTGGGAGTTGTAGGCTTGGGGACCCACAGGTTGAGAACCACTACTCCAGAGGTTTTTAAACAGAGGCTGAATGGGCATCTATTGGGGGTGTTTGACTGTATATACTTGCATGGAAGAATGGGGTTGGATTGGATGGCCCTTCTGGTTTCTTCCAACTCTATGATTCTCTAATGCCTTATAGAATGTTTCAGCCTTTTAAAGGACTTACTAAATCTCAGCCTGTACTTGACTAAAGGGGAGCCCCACAATAATATTTTACTATTTCAAAATTTCAATTTCAAAATTTGGGGATTGGCCCCAAAATGAAACATATCTCTTTCAAAAACTAACCACCAATAAAATCTGACAATTATCATTGAATGTGAACTGGTGGCAACTGTCCTCCCTGCCCCAGAAGTTCAAGCAAAGTAAGAACAAGTCACTTAGCCATTAGAAACAAATGGACAGAACCCATTTCTTCCTCCATTCCATTCTAGCCCACACAATAAATTGGTCATTAAGCAGGATCACCAAAAGTCCAGCCTGTTTAACTGCCTCTGCCAACATGACTGTGTTTGATGACCAAACCATAAATCCTCTCCCTGCAGAGATTGATTTCATCCTGCATACTTGGCCAGTTCCCAGAGAAGACAGTGGGTTGTTTTTGTGCTTGCATGAGATATAGGCTGCAGGGAAAAATCTGACTTTAAGCACCGTATATGCACCCCCTTTCTTCTTTTGCCCTCATTAAGACAATGGTTATTACTTAACCAAGCACTATCAAACATTAAGAGGAGCTTTCCTGCAAAATAATGCATACAAATTGCATTGTTTATTCACCCTCAGTAAAACAGTTTTGCAAAATAAGTGCTGTATTATATTGGTGGCGACAGCCTAGAGGGAGCTCTGGCGTGGGCTGGTCCATGAGGTCACGAAGAGTCGGAAACGACGGAACGAATAAACAATAACAATGCTTTTTGGACATGCTGATGGTGAAAAAACCAATATAGTGCATGTGCCATGCTAAGTGTGGCCCATTAATAACAGTTGTTTTAAAGCCTGAATTATATTTAGTTGAAATATAGATCCATAGGATCAGAAATATTTGCGTATATGTGAAGTGATCATTCAAAAACTGAGTCGGTGAGTATTCTAGTTGGAACTAAACAATATGATCCTGGCTTCAGTCTGCAAAAAAGATACTGGTTATGGTATGGCAGGATGTACTGCATTATAAAAGCCAGATATTTGGCTATGTGCTGGAATTATTACCTTAGCCCAATTGAGCTCTTGATGTAGGCCCATTGAGTTGCATCTGGTATAGCACTGTTCAACCAGATCAAAATTCTAGTTTGTGTGCCATTTAGGACACTCATGAGCTATCTCTGTAAAAGCTCTAT